CGGCTAACTAAGACTGTGGCATGATTTCACGAACCAGCTGTTCTGACGGCCTTGACCCCTGTTACAGACTTGACCTTTTAATGCCGGCTAAACAAGATACTGCGTGATTCCCGAACTTAATTTCTCAAAAATAAAAATAAAATTGTGTTGTTGTGCTCATTGTGTCTTGGTTGGTTTGTGTGTGTGTGGGGGGGGGGGGGGGGGGCTTGAAATCTGAGGGGTTGTGGTGTACTAAAATGTTATACATCGTTAGGTGTTGAAGGAGTGGTGGGGAAGTAAGCGTCGGGTTGCTAACTCCAAGAGTCTCGAGTTCGTACCCTGGGCAGATGAGGGACAAAATCTCATCTAGGGAGACACTTTAAAGAAGATTGTTCTTAGAAGCAATACCAGAGAGAAAAGCATGCTGAAGTCGGCGTCAAAACGGCCCATATGGTGACTATCATGGAGAAAATGTAATAATTTTAGTGTCGGGGGAAATCCCGTCCACCATTACAATTAAAAACGAAGAAGAAAGAAGACGGTATGTGTTAGTGTGTCAAAGGGTCCTACTCTCGTGTTATAGAATATGTGTCTAACCCATATTAGCAATTAGTTGACACGATGCTAAATGGCTGACAAGACTACTCATAATAAGACAGACTTCATTAACTTTTAATTTGGGAAAAATACTTCCATTCACACAGCGTATAAAAAGTCACCTAATTTCAACACTTTCCGGACTATTTTCTACTTGCTAAACGAGGCTAGTTATAAAAGGTGTCGCTGGATCAATAATCCAGGCGAAAGATGCGTGGCCAGATTTTCGTGCGACCAAATGTCTCTGTACGTAGGTTTCTCGGCCCAGTTTTCTTGTGAAATGGGTTGCTTTTGGCGTAACTAAGCGGGTACGGTAGCCCCGGGTGGCGCCAAAAAGTTGGCTCTAAAAGGGTTGGATAAAATGGTTATACTGAATCATACACACTGGAAGTTGTTTTTTTAAGATGAATGGCCTTTATGGCTTTACTGATTTGTTTACGTAATTTCTACATCGATTGTTTAACAGCACAGTTAATGGCCACTGACCGACAAACAGCGTTATCCTCAATTTTCCAAACTTAGCGAAGGCTGGGGGTGGGTTTTTTTTCGCAAACATAAAATCATTTCAGCTGGATCAGTGTGGTTCGAGAAATTATATGACAAGGTAGCAGTCCCTAAACACGTGTTTACATTTCTCTCTCGTTTTACACAGGAAAGGTCAGCCATTTGTATTGGATTGTCTGAGATATTATCGGCATCCATTATATAACAGCAAACTAAATACCCAAGCTAACTCTTCTGTCCACTGAACCAAAACGGGCGAGGGAGGCTATTTCATCGGAATTTTATGAATTTTTAAAATTAAAAAAAAAAAAATGAGTAACTTGTGCCAAATTGGGAAGCAAAATTCTTGAGTGACATCATCAGTTTAAATAAACCGCTTTCATCACAGCAGCTGACTCGTGATCGGCATCAAACACTGAGGGCACAGTCAAGCAGCGTAAAAAAATAGGACGGACATTTGATTGCTTTTTTTCCTCCTCGCCCTTTCAAATACTGCAAACTTCGACAACAGACCTAGTTAGAGCCACTATCAAAAGTAAGTACAGCCTCTGTTCAAGTTACCACGACCACCGTGTGAACTGCTTGTGATACTGATCGTGCTACCGTACCCAACTATAATACTATTGTCGACGTTGCTTCTAATTTGCTCCCGGAACGAACCACCCTTTCAACTCAGATGAGGCAATATATTTTCTGACGTTCGCTAATGATTCAGTTAAAGATTTGTTGAAAGCTAACATAAGTATTAGGGGATAACATGACCTCAAGGATTTATTGTAGTAGGTAACACAAAGAAGATACTGTGCATGCTAGAACTCTGGTATCAGTCGGGTATATATATATATATATATATATATATATATATATATATATATATATATATATATATATATATATATATATATATATATATATATATATATATATATATATATATATATATATACATACATATATATATAGGGAGGCACAGTGCCAAAAAGTTTAGATACCGCCTGATGGTTTCTGTGAAGGAAGTATTTATATTGATTTATTGCTGCACTGAATGTTGTCACAAAAACGAGTTAGCAGTTAGTGACAGAGCAAGTTAACACTAACCCAGTCCTTATTGCAACTGTTTGGAATTAACATGCCTGATTAAATTATTTTAAGTAAAGTTACAGTGAGTCTATAGACCAACTTGCTAAATTGTTCAGACAACCTAAATCTCGCAAACACCTTGGGAAGACAATTTCTGGGAAACTACGCCTGTTTTTTTTAAAAAGACGTACAAGTATCTAACGCGAACGCTTGTGCATTGTATATTCCCGGTGAAGTGGTTGACACGTTTTCTGAGCACAATGTGGACACAAGACGCTATGAACCAAATGGGAAGCTACTCTAGAATCTTGTCACAATCTCTTGACGAGCTGACACTAAAAATCCCGGAAGGAAATGGAAAGACTAGCGTTAAAGCTAGAACTGTTTCTGTGTACCCGTTTTTTTTTTTAAGGCGGTGAAGTGTTGTAGACAAAAATGTAACAGATTTGTTTAAAAACCTTATGTACAAAGTACTGACATATGCCATTTGTGTGTGTGACACAGAGTTGTTATTTGTATGTGAGTCAGTCATTTGTGTGTGTGTGTGTGTGACACGGAGCTGTTATTTGTATGTGACTCAGTCATTTGTGTGTGTGTGTGTGACACGGAGCTGTTATTTGTATGTGACTCAGTCATTTGTGTGTGTGTGTGTGACACGGAGCTGTTATTTGTATGTGACTCAGTCATTTGTGTGTGTGTGTGTGTGTGTGACACAGTTGTCATTTGTGTGTGTGACACAGTTATTTGTGTGTGTGTGTGTGTGTCTCACATAGTTGTTATTTAACATGCCTCAGCAAACGACCTTGACACCCATTTAAAAGTATAGCGCCGACAGTATCAATATCTTGGTGCTATTTCGTAATTTCAAGCAGGCTACAGATATCTCCGTTAGGTGGGTCAACATTTAAAAGCCAACCCTCGACGTTAGGTGGGTCAACATTTAAAAGCCAACCCTCGACGTTAGGTGGGTCAACATTTAAAAGCCAACCCTCGACGTTAGGTGGGTCAACATTTAAAAGCCAACCCTCGACGTTAGGTGGGTCAACATTTAAAAGCCAACCCTCGACGTTAGGTGGGTCAACATTTAAAAGCCAACCCTCGACGTTAGGTTGGTCAACATTTAAAAGCCAACCCTCGACGTTAGGTGGGTCAACATTTAAAAGCCAACCCTCGACGTTAGGTGGGTCAACATTTAAAAGCCAACCCTCGACGTTAGGTGGGTCAACATTTAAAAGCCAACCCTCGACGTTAGGTGGGTCAACATTTAAAAGCCAACCCTCGACGTTAGGTTGGTCAACATTTAAAAGCCAACCCTCGACGTTAGGTGGGTCAATCTATCTTTTAAAAAAATTTATTTTGGTAAATTTAAAAAAAACAATTTAAAACGAAATTAAAATTAAGTGAAAGAACTTATGTCAGTGTTATAAAAACGAAAGTATCTCACCGTGATCCACCATATGAAATCGATTATCCAGTTGGTACCTCTACATTGGTATTGATGAAGAAGAATATGAATATCCACAACACTGAGGCTATGAATGCTGGTGCGTACAGAATTGAGACCGACCCCAGAGAGAGACGGTGGCTTTATCCTGACCCGCCGAGTCCCGATCAGGCAGGGAGACGCCTGATCCAGACAGTCTGCGGACAGTCAGGCGCTCCCAACTTAGCCGGAATGTCGCCGCGGCAAGTCAGACAAGCACGTGCTTCTGGACCGCTCACCTTCTACAGCTGTAGGCCTGCACTGCGTTACGTTACACTACTCTATATAGGTGAATAGTTACACTACTCTATGTAGGTGAATAGTTACACTACACTATATAGGTAAATAGTTACACTATTGTATATAAGTGAATAGTTACACTGCACTATATAAGTGAATAGTTGCACTACTCTATATATTATAGGCTTAGGTGAATAGTTACACAACACTATATATAGGTGAATAGCTACACTATTGTATATAAGTGAATAGTTGCACTACTCTATATAGGTGAATAGTTACATTATTCTATATAGGTGAATAGTTACACTACTCTACATTATATAGGTGAACAGTTGCACTACTCTACACTATATAGGTGAATATTTACACTTCTCTATATAAGTGAATAGTTACACTACTCTATATAGGTGAATAGTTACACTACTCTAAATAGGTGAATAGTTACTACTACTTTACACTATATAGGTGAATACTTACACTACTCTATATGATATGGGTGAATAGTTACACTACTCTATATAAGTGAATAGTTACACTACTCTATATAGGTGAATAGTTACACTACTCTATATAGGATAAATAGTTACACTACACATTATTATTTCAAAAGAAACACATTGACATTTATCCATTTAATTTAATGAAGGAGATAACAAAAGAGAAAGAATTTTGTGACATATTAAAGGCTTTAGAATCATGAATTGTGGTAAGATGTGGAGTTGTACTTTTTTAAAAAACACAACAGCGTTGCTGTGCTTAGTTTGATGGAGCAATCACAGCATGCTATCAAACATAGTCTACATGTCTGCTACCTTTTAACATTTTTTTTTGTTACTAAAGCCAATAAAGGTAACAGGTTACAGCTGAGATTTACCAATACAATTTATTTTTAAAAACTCCAAAAACACGTAGCCTAGATCAGTGGCATCACTATGTGGGTTAACAAAATGTCTGAATAACATATTGGCCTTTGTCATCTAGCTCATATCAGAAAAAAAAGCTAATTGGAATTATTTCAATTCAAAATGGAAGCAAATATCTAAAATTAACTTGTACTTTAATATCACAGTTTAAAAAAATGAAACAAATATGTTGATCATTTAAACAAAAAAAATTTATTTTATTAGAATAATTTCCAGTAAGATATACATAAAATATCATGAATACAGAGACCTTGTATGTTGGTCTTGGTATAAAACTGTCAGTCAACCATAAGAAACACACCAACATTCATACACAAACCAATGGACACACACCTTATACAAGCAGACCTTTCACAGACAAGCTAATTGTGGTAGGCATTCAAATGATAACAGTGCTTGATCATACTGCAGTCAACTACTTCCACATTTTTCTCTAGGACAGCCCTGACTTGGGACAGCTCAAATTGATACTGTTAGACAGCTACCTGGACAAAGAAATAGTTTAGTATATAGATAATGAAATATTTTGTGTCACTGTATTAATTAAAATTATCCTTTTTTTATCTTCTTGTTTACAGAGTAAAGAGGATGTATAGTATTGTAATTAAAATGAAATGCAATTTTGACAGTTTTGCTTCTGTACATCTGTGTGTGTGTGTCTATTACACAAAAACTTGAGTACAATTTCATTTATGTTGATGGCCATACAACGTTGAAGATACCGGTTCTCACCCGATCACCGAAGTCAAGCAACGTCTGGTGTGGTTAGTACTTAGATGGATGACCGCTTGGGAACACCTTGTGCTGTAAATTGAATTGGACGGACGGAGTGGTCTAGCGGTAGAGAGCTGGACTGCTAACCCGTTAGTCTCGAGTTCGAATCCGGATTCAAGTCAGTAGACCGTCTCTGAGTCCACCTAACTCTGATGGGTACCTAAAAGTAAAGGCGGCTGGGCATAGTGCTGACCACATTATCTCTTCGTATGCTGAGGTAACAGAAACAAGTGAACTCTACTTCACTTGCTCCATAGACTGTCAGGTTTGAAAGGGAAACTGACAAAATTTCATGAAGTATTATATCAAATTTGTAGTTTCCTATCAACGTTTGAATGATTTCCAGTAACCGGAAATGGTCCGTTGCTTTTTTTCTGTGGGAACAAGATTACTTCAGTACTCTTTCAGTTAAGAAAACAAAATTTCATCTAATACTTGCATCACTACATTTTTGAGAGACATCCGACCCCCGGAAGTGGTAATTTGCTGTATTTCTGGCTTCTAATAAACCAATAAGTTAACTACTGTTTCAGTTAGCTGGACGAAATTTCATACGTAGGCATATTATCTAATCACTGGTTACTATTAAATTTTGAGTAATTTTCAGTGATTAGAAGTAGTATTTTAATGCTATTTCTTATTTTTCAAAAAAAAAGGTATTTAATGTTTCCTTTATAAAGTATCAATTTTACATTATAGTATACACACACTGTTTGCATTCATTAGGTGTGTAACACATTTTCTATGCAATTCTATTCTAACTTAAATATATCAGTATTAAAAAAAAATTAATAAAATAATTTCTGTTATCCCATAGCACAGGAAGTTCCATAAATAAGACTTTTGGAGAAAGGTTAGGGGAGATCATTCCCAATTTATTTAGCTTCATGGTGTTGAGGTAGTGACAACCTAATAATTAGACAAATATTTCTACCTCAACTGTTTATACTCATGGCTTCATCCAGTTATTTATTATATCTAGTTTAATGTGTATCCAACTAAAACCTACTTGCCTTAGCTCCATCCCTTAAGCTTGTCTCCTATCTGAAGACTCTAAGATAGGTTCCCCTTGTTCACCAGAGGGTGGCATCACAAACCTAGCTGTCACATACTCTATAAGTCTACCCCGGGCATCCAAAGCTTCCAACTTTACTATGTAGGGACTGAAAAAAGAAAACAAAGTCAGATGTTATAACAACTGGTTATGTGAACCAAAAATTTAAAAACCAATTCAGATGTTATCTGGTTAAATGAACTAACAATTTTTAAAAAAAGTCAATGTTATAACAATTGGTTACATGAACTAACAATTTAAAAACAGAGTAGGCCTATGTGTGGCTACTTAAGGGCCAACAAGACTAGAATAGTTGAATGTTCCATTATTCAACAACTGACAGTGTCAGTATGTTTATACTTATGTTTGTTCTAGGAGAATAACAGTTGGGTAAAAAAATTTACAATCTTATGAGATGAGTGGTGTAGGGGAGGCAATAATCTTTTTAAAATTGTTCAACTGACAGAACAAAAGTTTGGAAGTCTGACTAGTCCAATTAGTATTGTGAGTGGGACCATGATGACAGTGAGTGACATAAGAATTAACTGTTATGGCTGAGACCTTGATAAGTGTGACTACAGCACTTACATATTATAGTTGAGACCTTGATAAGTGTGACTACAGCACTTACATATTTATCCTTGATACCATGATAAAAGTGACTTAAGTGCTTAAGTAAAGACCTTAGATTGACTCAAGCTCTTACTAGTTATGGTTGAGACCAGTTGTTTGGTAACTGAACTGGTTGCCATCTAGAGTGGATGATTCCAATGTTGTTTTACTAGCATCATCATGGGTGATGGTTACTTTATATTTATCAACTGGTCTTAATGTGTTGTTTTCAATACCCCAGTTGATATCTACTTCGCTCGAGGCTCCCGGGGTAACTCTTAGTTCCAGTACTGGTTTCTCATCTGAGAAAGTTTGGCATATTTTACATCAGAAATCTTTAGACATAACATTTGTAATCAAAATGAAAAAATTCCTTCCAATAAACTACAATAATTGAATAAGGAAATATCTTTCAATCGACTACAATAATTGAAATAGCTTATTGCTTTCCAGTGGACAACTTTAATTTAATACTGTAAATACCTCCTAATTTCAATCTGTTTGCAGAATTTTCAACAACAGTGGTCCCCTCTTGTCCTTTTTGTGGTACCACAAACTTAGCATTCACATATTCAATCAATTCTTCTTTGTCATCAAAAGCTTTTAATGTGGCCAGGTAACGCCTAAAAGAAAAAAAAAATTTGCTAATTGTCCCTAAGTTGACTTTGATGCTTGCCCTTCAAGAAGCAGAAAGACTGAAAATGTATGGTCATAAAATACATTTAAAAAATTGCCAAGCTGAAATTTGTTTGATGTTAGCCAGATTTAAATCTTATAAGAAAAAGAAGCCTACTCTGGTGGTTGATAAACTAATCCTACAGGTAAAAATCTTAAGGGTATGTTCACCTGATACTTACATGTTCTCATGCAGTCCTTTCACTTTAAAGCTGGACAACATTTTAGAAGCAGAGTTGGCATAAAACAATGTTTGACCTGGGTCAGCATGTGTTATAGTTAAATTATATCTGTGAACAGGCCTCTTGATGCTATTCTGTAGAGTCCAATCTAACGCCATTGAACCATTTTTTCCTGGAGCTAATACAATTTCCATTTCTGCATCCTCATCCACTGAAAGTAATTTTTAGTTTTCTTTAGGTAAAGTCTAAGGCATATTTAAGCTAGTTTTCCAATAATTAAAAAACAACTAAAGATAAAGCAAAGATTGTGTACTTACAGTTGTCTATTGTAGACCCTTGTCTGTAATCAGAAGAATCAATGACAGGTTCTGCTTCTTCATCAAATGGTGGGGTGAAAACTCTAGCAGTGACAAACTGAAGGACTTCATCATTCTCATCCAGGGCTTTCACTGTTACAACATACTCTCTAGAGGGGGAGGTGAAACAGATAGAATAGTAGCTCTATACATTAGATAAGATGGTAGAATGATTGTTACATCAGATAAGTTGCTCTAAACATTAGATAAGATGGTACAACGATTGTCACTTACTTGTTTTCCTGAAATCCAGTTAATTGTGTGTTTGACGATTCTCTCATTTGAACATTTGAAAGAACTAAACTTTGTTTTGAGTCATCACTTGCTATTGTCAAATTATATTTGTTTACAGCAATGTTGGTATTCTTTGGCTTAAACTCCCATGTAATATCAACATTGTCAGCTTGCTCAGGTTTGATTGTCAGTTCCAATTCTGCTTTCTCTTCAACTAAAAATTAAAGTCATCCACTGAATTAGTTTTACAGCAAAGTAGCAAGTCATCAATTGAATTAGTTTTACACTAAAGTAGCAAGTCATCAACTGAATTAGTTTTACACTAAAGTAGCAAGTCATCCACTGAATTAGTTTTACATCAAAGTAGCAAGTTATCAATAAATGTTATAGCAGTTTTAAATAAATTAATCAGTTGTACATGTATCTCTGTATTCTAAAATTGACCATCCATTCACCTGTGGGTGCCATAGTTGTGATCATGTCTTCAGTAGAAGCTACTCTATAGTCTGAAGATTCTATGACAGGTTCCCCCTCTTCACCACTTGGTGGCATCACAAATCTAGCTGTCACATACTCAATAAGACCATCATTCTCATCTAATGCTTCAAGTCTCACCTGGTATTGTCTGTTACAAGGAAAATAAAAATAGATAGTTTAATTATGAGCAACACCAAATATAAAGAAGTAGAGCAAAAAAGTTTTATGCAAAGAATAAGTAGCAGTAATGTTAATTGATGTTTTTTTAATGTTAGATTATTTTATCTAAAGACAGTGGCAATAAACAAACCAAGTATTATTATATAATAAAAACTAAAGATAAAAATGTGGCTAAAAAGTGTCAACTGTATTATTGATTGCCGACTAGTGAATTTCTTACTTGTTATTTATCAATCCGGTTATCTTTTCTTCTGATATTTTTCCATTTAGAGTTTTGGAAAACTGGTGCTCTTTACTAGCATCTTCAAATTTTATAAAATATTTTTGGACAGGTCTGTTATTGCTGTTTTCTAGCGTCCATTTCAGATCTGCATTACCAATGGACCCTGGGGTTACTGTTAGTTCAAGCACTGGTTTCTCATTCACTGAAACATTTTTAACATCAGGTATAAAATGTTTTGGTTGTCATGCTTTTGTATAAATCCAGGGATCATGATATCTTGTTCCAATGAAACAAATTTCATGAGAATGTTTATACAAAAAAAAAGTATGCACTAAAAAGAAACTTTTTCTTAACTATAAAAATACCTCACTTTTGAAAACCTAACAAACTTACTTATGACATTAAACAACACCAAAAGTTAGAATAAAGTTATAGAGTGAGTAGTCAAGACACCTCCATATCAGTGGTAGACTATGACATAACATTAAAGAGGATAATTGGAAACATAAACACTAAAGGAACAGTAGCAAGATAATTCTGTGAGAAACTGAGTGACAAAAACTATTGAGCACTATTTGCAACCAACCAGATCAGTATCTTGGATATGCAATCCTTTAGAAAAAAAAAAGATGAAGACATAAAAGGTTTATTGAATTACTAGATGCACCTCTACATGCAGGACTAGAAGTGATTAGCAAAAATAAAAAACTTAAATTAGAAATCCCTATTTGAAAAGAGTGAACCTATTTGAATATTTGGGAATCTGGACAGTGTAAAACCTATTAGAATTTTTTTTTTTTAAATTATTTCTTCTGGCTGGCCACATGTAATACCATTGGAAGCACAACATACTGAATAGCAAGAGCATCAGTGTGAGCACAAAGAAAACAATAATATAACAATAATTGTAGAGAGAGTGTATGCCAGTAAAACCTGGACCTAGTACAAACCACAAAAATCATACAGATTACAGAAGAGAGAAAAATCCTCAAAAATATCTAAAACAATAAACTATGAAAATGATTGCAAAATATAAACCAACCTAGAGCTCTATGAGATACACTAACTTTACAATAGTGGCGGGAATATGATAGAAAACTGCGATGGTTGGGTCGTATTAAAAGAATGTCAACCCAGAGCGGAGTAAGTGTAGACCCATAACTCCAAAAGAAAATTACTTTAAAAGGCAGAACAAAGCTTAGAGCAATAATCAATGATGCAGACTTGGAAAAAGAAAACAATGAGTAGCCTGAATGGATTAGGTTAGGAAAGCAGGTCATAACACCATCTATGAGATGGATAATGGTACACCATGATTTTTATAGGTATTACTAAATGTTTTGGAACTTACACATCACTTTCTAACCCAAGAGAATTTTTTTACATGAACAAAACCACCGTATTCTAATGCATTTTTTTCTGTATGTTACTTTATAAACAAAAAATAAATCTTTTTACACATATTTTGAAGTTTGCAAGTTAACATCTAGACAAAAATTAGCACACAATGTATTGACATAATAGGCTATATCACAAAAGAAATATATGAAACTAAAAAATGTTTGATTACATTAGATGTTATTTTAAAACAATTTTTCCCCTAGAGATAATCCTTTAAATAATCATGTTCGCTTGGCTATATTTTTATACTAAAAACAAATTACTTTGGCAAATTGTTATTGCAACCTTCAACTATAATCTGTAAAAAGAGTAGGTATACTTAAATCAACAGGAAAACTGTATTCATGCAAAGTTAATGAATGTTTCACTTCATATCCATCTTCACTAGCCGCAGGGTCACAATCTGTTTACACACCATGGACCTTAATCTTGTAACTAACACTACCCTCCCCACCCTTGTAGCAACTTAGTAAGGTGAGTTCAGGTGTGTTATAAAATAATAAATGTAAGCCAAACATTTAAATAGCTGCATGGTACCAGGAAACAAAGAAGTTTCTAATCAAATTTGGTTATGCTTCTTCAAAGTTTAAAAGCCAATGTTGCTTATCTTTTATCATTAATTTTTCAATGCTATTTCAAGATTTGATTTTTACAGGAGCAAATTCTTAACTGTTTCATTACAAGCATAAAGTTTGTTAAAATTGTAGAATCTGGCAAAAATGTTGCTAGCACTCTACCTACCTTAGTATTTGCACACTGTAACCAGTTTGTAAAAATTGTATAATCTGGCAAAATGTTGCTAGCCTTCTACCTACTTCAGTATTTGCAGGTATAACTTAAGATAATTTAAATTGAATAATAAACCAATGTTGGTAAAAAAACAGTTTACTCTCAAAACATCTTTGCTTTCTCAGTTAAACTGCCTGAATCAGATTGTTGTATTCTTTTTTATAAATCACCGTACAAAAATCGGACTCCCCTACTTAACGAGACACATTATTTGTAGGTAACCACTTATGTTAAAAATTGTAGAAGACATATTTTGTCATGAAAAAATATTAACCCCAAATGTAAATACCTCCTAATTTCAATCTGTTTGCAGAATTTTCAACAACAGTGGTCCCCTCTTGTCCTTTTTGTGGTACCACAAACTTAGCATTCACATATTCAATCAATTCTTCTTTGTCATCAAAAGCTTTTAACATGGCCAGGTAACGCCTAAAAGAAAAAAATATATTTTCTAATTGTCCTTATGTTGACATTAATGCTTGCCCTTCATGTAGTAAAATGATTGAAAATGTGTGGTCATAAAATACATAAAAGAAAAAGTGCCAAGCTAAAATTTGATGTTAGATTTAAGCGTGGTTGAGTCTGAAAAGCTCATTGTTGCTAAACCAAAAAGTCTCGAGTTCAAACCCTCTGGCAGATGAGGCTCTTTTGCTGGGAGAGACAACTCCAAAATCAAACAACTGCTACCTTGTAGTTTGTTCTTGGTTGGACAAAGGCTATTGAAGCAAATCCAAAAAGAAAAGCAGGCTGAAATCAGAGTCAATGGCCTCGAGGGCACATAACTAGTTGACATGTAGACTTAAATTGTGTTGGAGGGGATCCCTTCAAACACTAAAATTAAGAACGAAGAAGAAGAAGAGATAGATTTAAATCTTGTAAGAAAAAGAAGCCTATTCTGGTGGTTGATAAACTAATCCTACGGGTAAAAATCTTAAGGGTATGTTCACCTGATACTTACATGTTCTCATGCAGTCCTTTCACTTTAAAGCTGGACAACATTTTAGAAGCAGAGTTGGCATAAAACAATGTTTGACCTGGGTCAGCATGTGTTATAGTTAAATTAAATCTGTGAACAGGCCTCTTGATGCTATTCTGTAGAGTCCAATCTAATGCCATTGAGCCATTTTTACCTGGAGCTAATACAATTTCCATTTCTGCATCCTCATCCACTGAAAGTAATTTATAATTTTCTTTAGGTAAAGTCTAAGGCATATTTAAGCTAGTTTTCTAATAAATAAAAAAAAACTAAAGATAAAGCAAAGATTGTGTACTTACAGTTGTCTATTGTAGACCCTTGTCTGTTATCAGAAGAATCAATGACAGGTTCTGCTTCTTCATCAAATGGTGGGGTGAAAACTCTAGCAGTGACAAACTGAATGACTTCATCATTCTCATCCAGGGCTTTCACTGTTACAACATACTCTCTAGAGGGGGAGGTGAAACAGAATAGTAGCTCTATACATTAGATAATATGGTAGAATGATTGTTACATCAGATAAGTTGCTCTAAACATTAGATAAGATGGTACAACGATTATCGCTTACTTGTTTTCCTGAAATCCAGTTAATTGTGTGTTTGACGATTCTCTCATTTGAACATTTGAAAGAGCTAAACTTTGTTTTGAGTCATCACTTGCTATTGTCAAATTATATTTGTTTACAGCAATGTTGGTATTCTTTGGCTTAAACTCCCATGTAATATCAACATTGTCAGCTTGCTCAGGTTTGATTGTCAGTTCCAATTCTGCTTTCTCTTCAACTAAAAATTAAAGTCATCAACTGAATTAGTTTTACACTAAAGAAGCAAGTTATCAACTGTATCCATTTTATACTAAAGAAGCAAGTCATCCACTGAATTAATTTTACATTATAGTAGCAAGTCATCCACTGAATTAGTTTTACATCAAAGTAGCAAGTTATCATGTGTTTTAGCACTTTCAAATAAATTAATCAGTTGTACATGTATCTCTGTGTTCTAAAATGGACCTTCCATTCACCTTTGGGTGCCACAGTTGTGATCATGTCTCCAGTAGAATCTCCTCTATAGTCTGAAGATTCTATGACAGGTTCCCCCTCTTCACCACTTGGTGGCATCACAAATCTAGCTGTCACATACTCAATAAGACCATCATTCTCATCTAATGCTTCAAGTCTCACCTGGTATTGTCTGTAGCAAGGGAAACAATCACATAGATAAAATAAATATCTTACAAACATCAACTTTTGTTTTTTAAATTCGCTGTAGACCAATTAGAAACAACAAGTTGACAATATATTATTTCTAAAACATTCATTACATTTTATTGCTTTACAAAGAGTTGGGGGGAGGGCAGGGTTATAGGTTTTAAGAAAAAAAAAGTCAGCCATTATCCCATAGCTTATAAAATATAATATAGTATCCAAAAACTTAAGTTAAAGGTAGAATTGCACATGGAGGCCTGCTAATTATCCTTACTTATTATTTGTAAATCCATTAAGCTCCACTTTTGACATGTTCCCACTTAGAATGTCTGAACGGACTATGTACTTATCAGCATCATGAAATATGAGTGAATATGTTTTGACAGGTCTGTTGTTGTTTTTTAATGTCCATTCCAGATCTACATTACCAGTGGACCCTGGCGCTACTGTTAGTTCAAGCACTGGTTTCTCATCAACTGAAATATTTTTATTGTTAACTTTTTCAATTATGGTATAGAGCCAGGTTCTTAAAATTAATTACATTTTTAAATTACAACAATTTTTTTTTAAAATGCAGCATGGAGCAAATTTTAAACAAGAATTAACAATGTTATAGTTTACCTGCTGCTGTTGCAGTCACCGTGCCGCTGGTAGGACTTTTAGTCATCATCTGTCGGTTGTCTGAAGATTCTGTAACAGGTTTGCCTTCTTCACCAGCAGATGGCATCACAAATCCAACTGTCACATACTCAATTGTTCTTCCCAAATCTGCAACAGCTCTCAGTGTGGCAATGTATTTCCTTAATGAAGCAAAATGTTTGTTAACATACAAGCAACTTGTATTATCCCTTACAGCCCCAGAGCCTAATTTTATCTTTATCTTTGTGCACAGTCAAGTAAAATTCAACTTCATTATTTCGTTCCATTAAGACTAGTTGCAAGATTTACCACCCAAAAGGGACTAGTTTACAAACACAAAACAAAGCATTTGATCTTTCACATTATTTTGGATGCTTAAATGCTGACTCTGAAATAATTATCAAAACTACTTCTTATTTAAAAATTATAAAAATTGACCCATTTTAACTTTTAATGGTGGATCTGTTAATATTAATTCATAACATGGCCTGAAATAATCAACCTGTCACCTACAAATTTTCATAAAATCGTAAGTTTAATTGGGATCAGATGGGTCTAATAATTACACATATCATTAACCATTGTTCCTTGATCTGCCCTAAATTATTTGGGTACCAAAAATAAAAATGTTGAAGTACAGAGCACTTTTTAAAAAAATTAATAACCAAAATATTTAAAAAACAAAATGTCTTCTCACCCATCTTGTTTCAATCCCTTTATTTTAGACTTTGATGTTTTTCCACTAAATGATTGTGAATAAAATTCACTTTTATTAGCATTATCTTCATTGATTTCCAAGAAATATGTTTGTACAGATATGTTATTGTTTTCCAGTGTCCATTCCAGATTTATATTACCAGTAGCCCATGGGGTTACTGTTAGTTTCAGCACTGGTTTCTCATCCACTGAAAACATAAATATATATTTTAACTTTACAAAGTTTATGTAGGCCTGTTACAGTCAATTGTAGGTTAGATAGAAATAGGTTAGAATAATCTAGAATTAGGGGAGAGTGCATGTGTGAGTTGAGTTTACCCTAGAGTATTGTTAACCCCGGTGTGTTGATGTATTGTTATCCCAAGGTCGAATGCGGTATAAAAGTTGGAGTGAAAGATTGCAAGGGGTTAGTTGGTAGCGATTAGGACGAGTGCTACTCTGGAATGTATATATTTGAGATGGAATAAAAGTAGTGAACGTAGTCACGAGGCGTTGTTTATCTGAAACTAACCTGGACGTAACAAGGCCTACATAAATTTTATTAATTTGTAACACAAACTCATAAAACCATGAGGGTTAATAAAGATGTTACCTTGCATTGGTACAGGGGTTGGTTTAGTTACCATGCGCCTAAACGATGATGATACCAACATTGCCTGAATGGATGGTCCTAGCGTCCGGAGCAGTTCTGTTTTTACATACTCTATTATAGCTCCTTTACTGTCTACTGCATCAAGTGTGATAATGTATTTTCTGAATGTACAGATCAAGGACAAACTAATAAGTTCATGGTCATTTTGAGGGAGGTCAAGATTACCTTGGTCATTCTGGTTTTATAATGGAAATCTCAGTTAAAATATGGAGTAGCGGCACTGCTACATGCATGTCCATGTCAAGTGTATTTACCCCCTGGAGCAATTACCCCCCTGTCAATTAGAAACTCCAGAAACTCTAACTCAAATTCTATACCTACATATTACCTTAATCCTAACCTTGAGAAAAAGACCAAAACCTTAGCTTTCAACTCACCCTAAAACTTAACACAAAACCAAAACCAACGCTAGACATTAGTTTAAGCCTAACCCTGACCATAACACTAACCCTAATCCTAACCCTATATCTAACCCTAACCCTGATACACTAACCCTAATCCTAAATCTAGCCCTAACCCTAAACCTAACCTTAACCCTAGCTGTACCTAGCTATGTTGGGGGGGGGGGGGTAATTGACAGGGGGTAATTACTCCAGGGGGGTAATGTCTGGGGGTAATTGAGGGGGTATAATGTCCTGTTCCCGTCCATGTGATGTCATTGCTGTATACATGTCCAGGTCATGTGTCACTACAACATATATCTCCCAGGTGTATGTTAGTTAGTCATATGCTACTAGTATTTACTTTTGACAACAATTTATAAAGTTTTTTAAAACTATTACTTAATTCAAACTTTAAAAAATTAAATTTTCAGGAAGATAAAATCATTGGCAACTTACTCATTTTCTACCAGTTCTGCTATTTTAAATTCAGTTGTATCTCCTGGGAGTTGTTCAAACTTCCATAGTGTTTCTGCTTCACCTCGAGTGACCTTAAGGAGATACTGATCTACTGGTCTGTTTCGGCTGACCCCACTCAACGTCCAATTTAGAGATGCACCGCCTTCCTTGCTTGGTTGTATTTGTAGTTCTAGGTGTGGCAGCTCTTCCTCTCCTGACACAAACAAAAACACTTGGTATAATCAGGGAACACCCACATCACACATTAACAACTATCTCTACAGAATATCCCTGGAGTCCAGCTTTAATCAAAACAATAGTTACCACTTGGTGTTTCTGTTGTCAGCATAGCATCAGTAACTGTCACATCTGGCTCAGCTTCAGTAACTAGGTCAGTTGTGACAACCGCCTCAGTAACTGTGTCAGTTGCAATTTTCATTCCAGCAGATTTGAATGTGATTGGGTTTTTTGTTACACCATATGGAGGCACAACAAAATGGGCATGGACCTTGTCAATGATTTCACCAGCATCATCCACTGCTTCGAGTGTGATTAAAATGCCCCTGCAATAAGACAACAATTTCATTAACACTGACAGACAATATCCCATAGTGCACCACTGTGAACTTGTTTAGTCTGAGCCCAAGTGTAGAGGAAGTTTAAGTTAGGAGATAGAGAGCATAAACTATTAGAATCCAGTCAGTTTCTACATTTTTGTCAAAAAAATTCCCTGTACCCATTTTCCTGCAACCCTCGAAATAGGGTTGCATTATCATCTATCTTTGGATGAGTATAAATTTCTGCCTTGGTTTCTGAGTCTTGTATTCTCAAACTGTATGATTTAGCTGGCCTGTGCTTGGCACCTGTGAGATTCCAGGAAAACTCAGTCTCACCATCACTGTTTTGTGAGACGTAAAGAACCAGTACTGGCATTTCACCTGGAGAGGAGACAAGGAGCTTCAAATAACATGTTTCATTGTTCAGCATACAATTTAACAGAACAAATGTTCTCTTTAAATGTGTAATTTCACAAAAATGCAATGAATACCTTGTCCAGGTGCAGTGTGACTAGTTGCAGTTGATGATTCTATACTAGACAAAGTTGGGACAGGTGACTTGATTTCAACAGTGGAGACTGTTGTTCCAGACAATATGGGTACAAGTGATGGTAATTTGGTGGGTAACGGTGGAGTTACTTTTGCCAATGTGGGTACAGTTGATTTAGTAGAAACTGTTGTAGTTGTAGGAATTGTAGTTCTGAGAGTTGTAAGTATCTTAGCTACCATACTACTTATGCCAGATGGCAAAGCTGGTTTAGGTCTAATGGTAGTAGGCAAAGCTGGTTTAGGTCTAATGGTAGTAGGCAAAGCTGGTTTAGTTCTTAAACCTGCTGTAGTTTTAATAGTTGTGGGCCGAGTTCCTCTAGGATTTACAATTGTAGGTAAAGTTGGAATAGTTCTTACAACTGGTGCTGTCTTTCTAGTTGTTGGAACAGGTGCTGTCTTTCTAGTTGTTGGAACAGGTGCTGTCTTTCTAGTTGTTGGAACAGGCGCTGTCTTTCTAGTTGTTGGAACAGGTGCTGTCTTTCTAGTTGTTAGAACAGGTGCTGTCTTTCTAGTTGTTAGAACAGGTGCTGTCTTTCTAGTTGTTAGAACAGATGCTGTCTTTCTAGTGGTTACAACAGGTACTGTCTTTCTAGTTGTTATGACAGGAATAGTTGGTTTAGTTCTAACAACAATGGGCACTGTTGGTCTAGTTGCAATAGCTGGTTCTGTTGGCCTTGGTCTTTTAAAGGCAGGCACTGTTGTTTTAAACCTAGCTATTTTAACAGTTGTATGACCAACATAATCTGTCTGGGTTTCATCGGAGGTAGGATTGTATGTATATCGGTAGTAAAGCCTGTCTATAGCAGCATCTAGAATGTCCAGTGACTCCAAAGCAACAAAGTATATGCTGTATATAGAAAACATGGAAAGAGTTAATTTAAAAATAGAATGCTCCAAGTAAACAAGTTTTAGTTAAAATGTACACAAACTTCGACAATTATGAAAACTAATCACAAGTTTCCATCAAGACCAAGAGAAAGTAAGTTGATAGATGGCTGTGTTAAAACAGCATTATTTAAAGAAATAAGTGAAATAATAAAATACCCTTTCATAATAAAAAATGCCTTAGTTCAAGCATTGACAACTATTTTTTGTTTAGTGTATTTTAAGTAATCAGCATGTATCATTTAAGGGCATGGGCGGGTGATGAATACCCAATTAGCCAAAATGTTTATTTATAAAACTAATGCTATCATATCTAGCATATAGATCTAGTCATAACTCAAAGAGTTAAGTCTAAAAAATTAAAAATAGCTGCCATCTTGGAATTTTTTTTTACCATTTTAACATTGAAATAACTTTCTTAATTATTATTAAAATTAATCAAAACTGTATCTAGTTATTCTGTATAGGTTACATATAGAGCTTCCAACAAAAGTGATAGAACAAATTTTTGAAAATATGTATGGTTTTTCTTTTTTAGTTAAAATGGTGTATTTTGTGCACAAATTTCTATTTTTTTAAAGTGATTTTCAGATCAAAATTTGTAAAAACAAAAGTATTTTAAAATTTGAAAATGTAATCTATCAAGATTTTTACCACATGTATCTCTTTAATCCTGCAAGTTTTTATTGAATTTAGGATTGTTACTGTTGGGTGTAACAAAATTTACAACACAAAAAATATTTGTACCTATGTGGCTTTAGTCCTCTCAGGATATAACTCTTGACAGTTGGGGGTAACTTATTTGGTTTGACAATCAATTCATTGGTTTTATTATCAGCAACTTTCAGTAAAAATGCATTCACTGGACGGTTTATGTCTTCTGCTGATATCCATTGCATATACGAATAGCCATTTTTTTCAGGAATGATGGTCAGCCTAAGCTTTGGTGGATCTATACCTGGTCAACACAAAAATTACCTTACTAATGTTTTAAACCAGGCATAAATACTTTACTCATTTATAGTACAAAAATAAAATAAATAATTTTAAAGAACCAAAAGTAAAGGCTAATAATATTCATACAACTTAATTAGCTTAAAACTTCAGTACTTCACTGCCCCAGAACCAGACAGTTGTTAAGCAATTTTTAAAATGGTTCAGAGGGATTTGTCGTTACATGGTCCTTAACATTTTTATATTAAACACTTGCTTAAAGGGAGTTGTGATATGGCCACAAAATATTTTACCAAAATGCTTTGGTTCATTAAGAAAAAAAAAAGGTGTACAGTCTGGTTCTGGGGCATCACCATGTTAGAAGTAGTTATTGTAATAAAATCCAAGAAAACAAGACTTATATTTACACCTTCCAATACTTTTAAGAAAATGAGTTAAAAGTCAGGAGTTACCTGTTATTTCAGGAAATGTTGGTGGCTTGTGATAGGAAGTTTTTCTGATTGTATGTGGCACTAACTGCCGAGATGCAACATAACGTGAAGTGACGTAATCAATTATGTCATCATGAATGTCCAAGGCTTCAAGTGTTATTAAATAACCCCTGTATGATCAAATGCATTTTATTAGTATTATTAGCTCTAATTAAAGTAGTAGTGAAATCATTTGTTAAACAGAAAAAGAAGGAAATCCTTTTGATGCGACAAATTTTTACTTCTAATACATACACATTTAGTTTGAGTGGGTTGAGATAAACTGTCTTGATGTTGCTAGGGTAGACTGTGGGGGGCAGGACTTCCTTGTGGGAATCTGCCTCATTCACCTTCAAGCTGTATGTGCCAACAGGTCGAGATCTGCTCTCTCCCACCATCCGCCAGTCTAGTTTGGTTTCATTGTTTCCCTCAGGGCTGATGTCCAGGGTCAACATAGGAGATTCCACCACTGAAAAGAGTGGACTTTGAGTTAGCAGTTTTATAAAAGCAAACATAATGTCAGCATCATCATTGAAGTTAACACAAACAGCTTTATATTTATGGTGATCAATGAAGATAAAGTTCAGAAATAGTTATTCAAATGGTATATGCTTCACTAAAACTGAGTTTCAATATTATTTTTTTTCCCAGAAATTTATTAAAATGATAGCTTAGTTTTTTTACTTACATTCAATAATTTATTAAAAGAATATTTGCATAGCACTAAGATCCAGTAGAATTATATTAAGAAAGTATGATAAAAACTAAAAAAAGAAATGTATTACTTTCAGAAGTGGCAGTAGTTGTAGTTTCTTCAGGTATGTATGTGAAGGTGTCTGGTGATGTGTCAGCACTTTCGCTGGGATAGTAGTAAACTGATTTGATGGCAATTAGACCTTTATCTTGATTCAATGCCTCCAGTTTAACAATATAAGGCCTAAATTTGGATAAGATACATTATACTCCAGCATGTATATGTGAAACTAAGAAAAAAATATTTGAACAAGATGCAAAAGAACACATTTAGGTCTATTTATCACTTAATTAAAATTTTAAATTTTTCAATATCAATTTGCGAGTCCTCAAATGGGCAGAGATTGGGACTACCTAACAGCTTGTATTTCAAAAACCTGACGTCTAGATATTGTTAGGAAATCACCTCTGGCCTCACTAATCAGACAATGTGGGACAGAATGATCTAGCGGTACATAGCTAGACTGCTAATCCAAAAGTCTCAAGTTTGAATCTGAAGTCAGTGAAATGTCCCTGAGTCCACCCAGCTCTGATGGTTATCTAACACAATAGGGAAAGTAAAGGTGGCTGGGCTTAGTGCTGACTACAAAATCCCTTCATGTGCAGAGGTCACAGAAACAGGTGAACACTACTTCACTTGCCCCATAGACCATCAGGTTTGATAAGGAACTTTACTTTTTTACTTTTAACAGGCAATTGACTCCGGTCTCACTAATCAAAGACAATCGCTCTGGTCTGTTTTAAATGGAGTTTCATGGAGCACTTGAGAGACACAGCAATAACAATTTTTACTTCACTAGTTTGCTTACTGGTCAGTTTCCAAATCCTCACTGACCAATTCAGTAGTGATTGCTGGTAATGTCTTAATGGAATGGGTGTCTCCATCCCTGTTTAAGATAGAAAGTCTGTAAGTGTGGACAGAGTCAGCATCTTTACCCACAGGTTTCCATGCTATTTTTGTCTTTCTTGGACCATCTGGTTTCAATGTCATTTCAAGATGGGTTTCCTTTTCTGTCAATTTTAAAGAAGCTATAATTACAACACTGGATCTCATTACTTAATACTTAAGAAAAATAAAATACAATAAAACAATGGACAGTTTTATGTTTGAATAGATTTCTTGTTGCTTCTTGTTGCCAATGCAAAATTCAGAAAAATAAATGGCTACAACATGTTGTTAGCATCCTAGGTGTAGAAGAGGATTAAGTGAGCTGGGTGGAAATTTAGAAAAGATGGTTTTGTCACTACCTCAGATAACCTACATCATGCACTAGCATGTAATTCACTGGAGAGTCAATTCACATTGCCAGGTCAGAGGTCAATAAACCATTTGAAGGTTACATTTTCCAGATGACTGAGACAAGCATTGTAAAGAGTGGCAGTAAACACAAACCAAAAGAAGACAAAAACAATTAATAGCCTAACTAGCTCTGTGAGTTAGTGTAATTAAAGAAAGAAAACAAGCCTTTTCATTATTGCTTTCACCTTTAGGGTATTCAGGGATGACAGCACCAGGGCCAAACTTTGATCGCTCCGAGCTTCGAGATCTCACTGGCTCCCCAAACTTCTTAGTCGAGGGTGTATTAAATGTGGCGGATGTGCTCATTATTTCCTTCCCATCATGCCCCACTGTCGTTAAGACCACGTAGTACTGCCTGTAAAAGTAAATGAATCTGGCTACCTGTTGTAATTAGACACTAACTGTGCAAGAGAAATGTTCACTGTGTGGGCCACTTACCTCAATCAAACACAATTATGGTAACACCACACTGTTTGGGTGACACCAGTTTGGGTGACACCAGTTTGGGTGAACCACACTGTGTGACACCAGTTTGTGTGACACCACAGTTTGGGTGACACTACAGTTTGGGTGTCACCAGTTTGTCTGACACCAGTTTGGGTGTCACCAGTTTGTGTGACACCAGATTGTGTGACACCAGATTGTGTGACACCAGTTTGGGTGACACCAGATTGTGTGACACCAGTTTGGGTGATGCCACACTGTAAGTGTATTGGCTGTTGTCCCTTTCGCTGCTCCCCCTCCTCCCCCCTTCCAGCGTCTCTATAGTACGGTTTGAACCTAATTAGCAGGTCAGATTAGCGACCAGGCAGGAAGGCATTGTTTGTGCCCCTCCCCCTCTCGGATGACCCGATGTCTACCAGAGGGGGAGGAATGCAGCGGTGGGGGATCAGGACCGATAAGACGGCCGATGCGTTAGGTAGAGCTAGAAAGGAGACGGTTTTTTTGGTGTGGCTTGGAGAGAACTTTTTATACGTAAGTGTGAGGCATTTTTTATTATTAAATATTATACAATATGTCAAACGGTTGATATCTTTAGGCAATACTGATATTATTATTGTCAGATCTATGTACCAAATAATCAGATATAATTTAGGCATTAGCCTTAAAGAACCGCCTAGTTGTAATGTACCTACGTTTTATTCTGCCATGAGGCCTGTTAGAATTCCAGAATATACGTTACTGCATATTAAGTTAGACCTGTTCTAATTGTATTGTTCTGTTACAGCATAAATTGCTGTCTGCCTATTTTTGTTGGGTTTTATTTGGATTGACTAATTATTTTTGGTTTATTTTTCTTCGAGTTAAGTTTTACATTTTAGTTAATTCTTGTGTAGGTTTACATTACTTTAGTTGTGGAATAAAGTACCTCATAGTTACCCGACTTGACTTTGTCTTTTCTTAGTCTAGTTTAGTTTGGTTTGGTTAGGTTAAACAAACCCCTTTGACAACGAAGATGCACGGATGAGTGAATGAGATCACCTCTCGGTTCTCCCCTAACATGTGGATAAAACTACTCACTGTTTTGGGGAAAGCTGCAACAACACAACATCGTTAACATCTCCTGGTTTACTGGATGTAACCAGATTTTCACCCATAGGCCCTTTTTCAAACACTTCAACCCTAAAAAACAGGTGGGAAATAAATAATTAAAATGCCAAAACTTAAAATTTTATTAAAAATGTCCTATATCATAATTGCAATCATTTAATCTCAAATATATTTTGGAAAAATCTATAGGCCTATAACGGAAGTGATTTCAATCATTTTAAATTTTCTATAATTTTTTAAATTAAAATTCTTCAGGCAGTTGAAACTTGTCCTTTTAGATGATTTTATGCTGACCTGTATTCCTTGACTTCACTGGGTTCAACTCCTTCCATTTGCCAGTTAAGACGTACATTTGTGGCTCTAACTTCATTGACCTCCAGTAGTAATGATGGACTGGATTGATCTACACATGATGACAAATTTTAAAAAAGTTTCAAGGACATATTTCAGAAAGCCATACATTTTAAAGTACATCAAATTTTCACAACTTAAATCACTGTTTTATTTTAATTAGGCTAAATATCACTAGCAAACAATGGTATTTACAACAGCAAGTATTAATTAAGACATACCTGGCTTGAAAGATGCAGTACCCACCCAAACATTATCCTCAGCCAGAACTCCACCAGGGCCATAAGCTTTCACATTAGCGCTGTAGTTTTTACTGGGAGTCAGACCAGAGACTTTCAGGACTCTGTTTTAACATAAAATATAATGTAAGATTTTACATTGGCGTTGTAGTTTTTACTGCTAGTCAGAGCAGAGTTATACCTTTGATTTGCATCCACTGCATGCTCCATCAAAGTTTTTCCAGTAGCTGATGTTAATGTCACAACAAATCTATCTATCTGGTCCAGGTAGCCTTTCTGCATGGTCCACCGTATAATAGCCCTATATTTTTTAAAGAATTAAACAAATGAATTTATTTCACATAAGAACAAACTACTTGTTAGTGGGGGTACCTGACATAGAGGGTAAGTTAAACAACCCCTCCAAGAGTGAGGTATGAGATTACCTACCCTTAAACTGGTAAGTTACATCCCCTTCAATAACCAGGTATGAGATTACCAACCCTTAAACTGGTAAGTTACATCCCCTTCAATAGCCAGGTATGAGATTACCTACTCTTAAACTGGTAAGTTACATCCCCTTCAATAGCCAGGTTTGAGATTACCTACCCTTGGTGGATTATGGGATTGTGTGGTCTCACAAAAAACAAGAGTTTGGGATCAGGATTTGAGTCTGTAGGATGTCCCAGAGTTCACCCAGCTCTGATTAGTGCTGGACTCAAGACAAGTAAAGGAGGTTGGGCATAAAGGAGACTGACCAAACTATCCCTTAATACGGAGGTCTCAGAAACAGGGTAATTCCACTTCATCTGGGCCACTAAGGGTAATTTTATTTAAAACTGATATTTAAGTATATCCCAGAGAAGTACTCACTCAGTCTGACTCTTGTAAGTGACATCAGCATCAAGCTCATATGTCTTGTCTTCTTCTTCTAAACAAGAAAGATTACAAGTAGGTCTACATTTGAACATTTTGTGTGGGTAAGAAATCAAATCAAGTAGTCAAAAGGTAGTTGAGATCTCCATCAAGTACATAATTTTTTACTTCAGGTAAGTGGTGAAAGATGGGTACCTGACTCACGTTAAGGAAACTAAGGCAGTTGTGTATAGTGCTGACCACACTTTCTCCTTGTATGCTGATATTACTGAAACAGATGAACTCTACTTCATCTGTCCCAGGTGTCTTGGGCATAAATGGCAAAAGATGATGAAGTGGCTAAAAAAATTTCTTTCTGAGTTATTATCTATTATATATTTAGCAGCACATAATTTTCTTGCTAGGTGCATTTCTTTCATCAAGTCTTTGTATATAGGATATTATAACATGTTTAAAAATAGTTGTAGTTTAAAATTATCTACTGTCAACCTGAGCTTTTTAAGTAGACCACCATGACCAGTTAATTGTAGATGATGACCCTTGTTTGAGCTACAACCTAAAGAACCTAAATCCTAGGCCTACATTTGATTAGGATTATTTGGACAGACAATCATGACAAGAAAGAGCTGAAGAATCCACAAGTGTTTTGCATACAGCATGTAACAATCGGCTATTGACATGTAATAGGATCCCTACTAAGAAGATCAAGTAGATCATTTTTAAGAATGTTTTAAAATCTATTTTTAAATAAGGCAATAACCAAACAGGAGTTTGTTACTTGTATGTACCTTAAAAGCTGCACTTAAAGGTGATAATGACAACATCTATAGCTTCTCATGTCTTGTAAATGAAAGCATGCCCATGCATGTGGTTTATTAATAGCAAATGACAGCCTACATTAACTTTACATCTCACTATTAACATAAACATAATAAGATTTATATTGTTACTGATGACATGTGTATGTTAACTTAAGCGCTATACTAGACCTAAAATTTGAATATATCTCAGAATTTTATTAAAGTCTTTAAATACATTAGTGTTTATACATTCCTATTAATCATAATATTATTCTCTACAAAAGTACTTATTTTTAAATTTTATATATGTTGCAAATTTTCTTATCTCTTGTGGTCAGGCAAATATATGGGCCTAAATAAAGTTTTAAACACTTAAGTAGTATATATATTTGTTATTAATAACACATTTGAATGTCAACTGTGGTGGTGACATCTGTTATAATTTTTTGTCTAAACTACTAACTGAATTAGCAGCTACTCACCCTCTGTTGTTATTTCCACTAGATATGATGATGTAGTTTCAGTTGTAACTGGTGTGAGCGTTGTGTCAACAGCTTCAATGCTAGAAGTGCCAGAGGTAGCTGTGGTGGTCTGTGACTGGGTCATGTTAGAAGCTTCATCTGTTGGCTCAGTGGCTTCATCTGTTGGCTCAGTGGCTTCATCTGTTGGCTCAGTGACTTCATCTGTTGGCTCAGTGGCTTCATCTATTTTTTCTGTTGGCTCGGTGACTTCATCTATTTTTTCTGTTGGCTCAGTGACTTCATCTATTTTTTCTGTTGGCTCGGTGACTTCATCTGTTGGCTCAGTGACTTCATCTATTTTTTCTGTTGGCTCGGTGACTTCATCTATTTTTTCTGTTGGCTCGGTGACTTCATCTATTTTTTCTGTTGGCTCCGTGACTTCATCTATTTTTTCTGTTGGCTCGGTGACTTCATCTATTTTTTCTGTTGGCTCGGTGACTTCATCTGTTGGCTCAGTGACTTCATCTATTTTTTCTGTTGGCTCAGTGACTTCATCTGTTGGCTCAGTGACTTCATCTATTTTTTCTGTTGGCTCGGTGACTTCATCTATTTTTTCTGTTGGCTCAGTGACTTCATCTATTTTTTCTGTTGGCTCGGTGACTTCATCTATTTTTTCTGTTGGCTCGGTGACTTCATCTGTTGGCTCAGTGACTTCATCTATTTTTTCTGTTGGCTCGGTGACTTCATCTATTTTTTCTGTTGGCTCAGTGACTTCATCTATTTTTTCTGTTGGCTCAGTGACTTCATCTATTTTTTCTGTTGGCTCAGTGACTTCGTCTATTTTTTCTGTTGGCTCAGTGACTACGTCTATTTTTTCTGTTGGCTCAGTGACTTCGTCTATTTTTTCTGTTGGCTTGGTGACTTCATCTATTTTTTCTGTTGGCTCGGTGACTTCATCTATTTTTTCTGTTGGCTCAGTGACTGTGTCTGGTTTGTCAGTAGTTTTCTCTTTGGTTACTGTAGATCGTGTTATGCTAGTTTTATCTGTTGTTGTGTACCTTGTCACCTTTGATGTCACTGGAGTTGTCTGTTTGTCAACAACTGATGATGTAGTTTTTTTAGTCAACTTTGTCGGTTGAACTGTGGTGGTTCCAATAATATCTAATGGCACAAGTTTATTGGTGATGACTTTAACTGAAGGTGCATACCCTCCAATATTTGGTGTTCTAAAAGTGATTATGGCTTTTAAAAATTGTTTTTTCCCCCTATCAACTGCATCCACTGTCAAAATAAAATACCTGATAGAAAATAAAATAAATCAAATGCTGCTTAAGAAATTTTTTGTGTGTTTACAGAGATATACAATGGATATATACATTTGAGGAACTAAATTGTAAGCATGAACCACCTTTGAGGAATTTTCTGAATAGTCACTTAATGTTCGAGATAATGCCCGATCACTATGCACCAATGAATTTCACACCAAATAATTGACCGCTATATATCCTCAAACAGTATCTAGTCTAGCTATCCTGTCATGCGCCACTCTATCTAACTTGTGTTGTATATCACACCTGACAACTATAGGTTCCCAAGCTGCCTCTCGTCCAACAATAAGACTGAGGCAATAATGTCTCCCTATGGTCATCAGAATCGTGTCTGGCATCCATGTGCATGTCATGAGTAATGATTCTACCACAACCTCCAGCAGCATGCCTAAACTCAACTTATGACAAATCACTGCAGTTGTCTTCCCATATGTAAGTAGCCCTCAACAACCAGCGTGTCGATAACATTTAATTATATGCTAGATAACCCTTGGCCTGCTCAGGCCGAATATCTTAGGTTAACCCCTTGGATAGTAGTAAAATGGTGTTTGTCACTAGCACCTAGTCACCTGAGCCCCTTTGATAAGCACCCAAGTTACTATTTCATTTTAGGATAAACAATAGAATATCAGCAAACATAATAATTCCTTTGAGGAATTTTATTGTAATCATGACCCACCTTAGAGGAATTTTATTGCAATAATGACCCACCTTTGGGGGATTAGATTCCTGATAGAAAATGAAGCTGGGGAAGGTGTGCTAGAATTGAGGATGTACACTGGGGCGGAGCTTTCATTCATCAACTCCACCTGAATCCTAAAACAGAAGAGGACAGCCAATCATTAAACCATTTTAACATTTGCGCTGTAGCATTCAGAAAATGTATCTAGAAGGATTAAATTCACCTGAAATCATTGGCTTCTATTCCTTGTGTAACAACATCAATTTTTGCAGTTGTTTCCCTGATTTCAAAGAGCTCAACACATAGTTCTGGTTTTTTGGCTGTGGGTTAATGGGAATAAATCATGTGAATTACTAACAGATGTTTTTTGTTTTAAAAAAAAAAAAATATATATATATATATGCCTATATATGTATATATTTCAATGCAGCTATATTGCTATATTTTTCATTTATTCAATATAAACAAGCCCTACACATAAAATACCTGGCTTATCCTTCTTTGTAATGTCAATTTCTTTGGACACGTTGCTCACCATTCCATTGTCAGTGTAGGTGAGAAGATTTAAGACAAAAATTGTTGGTAAATTCCTGAAAAATGTTTTACTTTTTTAAAATCTCCAATTAAATAAATTAGGATTTCAGTGGAATCAAGCAATAGAAAAGGTAGGCAGGCAAGTTTGTGACAAAACTACTCATCTAACATAGGTTATAACAATATGAGAATATGATACAAAGATTTTAAATTTTTTTTAAAGTTATTTGAGAAATAAAGAATCACTTCAGATTCCTGCAATTGCTCAAAAGATGACAGAAATCTAAACTTTCATCCCCCTAACTGAAGCAGAACTCAAGTTATTCACGCTCACAGATAAACACAGACAAATACACAGACAAGATAACAAAATAGGCTTTTTTTTTTAACAGATTTCATACAATAAAGTAAAATGGAAAACATTACATTAGTGAAAAAAATTAAAATCTGAAAACCACAGAGAATGAGCATGACTGACCAGACAAAATATTTTAATTTACCACTGACTAATTTTAAGCCTTCTCTCTCTCTCTCTCTCTCTCTTTCTCTCTCTGCTGACAGAAACATTCCATACATAGGCTACTCCAGCCTTGAACACAAAATAATAAGTTCAACTTAATTTAGTGGCTGCACATAGTTGTGTTTGGACAGAAAGAAAGGTTTCAATACAATTTTTTAAATTGATCCACTAGTATTTTTTCTCTTACCCATTTGATGGATTTAGAAAAATCTTAAAATATCTGGCATTTGGTTCCTGTTTTAATCTACCCATCAGAACATTGCCAAATGTGTCTGTTAATTGCAAACTGAAGTTTCTGTAATCAGGAATTAGAAAAGAAAAAAATTAAATATATATACTAAGGTAATGGTCAAAAATGATACAAACTTTATATTTTTAATAAAACAAACCTGATAGCATTTATATTTCCTTTCTCTACTCTCCATCTTATTTCCAGATTTACAGCCTCCGTAGCCTCAGAGACATTCGCCAAGAGAGTAACAACATATGGCTTGACTGGAGAGAAAAAAGTCTATTGGGGTAAATAGTATTTGTGGGTGAAGGGTGGGGTGTTTTATGTGTGGGTAAATGCGTTTTTTTATCCTCCATGATCAAAACCAATTTTAACACATGAAACTACCAGTTACTATTATAATCATGTTGATTGGCTTGCTATCAAAACACTGTTCTTTTGATCATCTATACTCACATTTTTTAGTATACTTTCTTTACATAAAATATCAAAATAATAGTCTTTATATTTTTTACTAAATTTAAAAAAATGGTGCATTAATTTAGCTTATCTCTACTTCTTTTTCTCGTTCCCTTCTTTTGCTCTTTTTCCAACTCATCTGAGATTTAGCGTTGTTAGAAAAATTTTAAAGGTGGATAAAACTAAATTTGTTTTTCGTTTATTTTCAATGTTAATAATTTAAATTTGTGAAAGGAAGCATTTTAAACTTTTAAGCTTTACTGATTACTTATTTCAAAAAGAGTACTATTAATAGAACAACCTAAGGTCTAAATAACCCAACACAGCTTGTTAAAAAAGCGAAGTAAGCTAAAAAAAACTAATTTTATTGTCACTTTAAAATTACTGATAAATCCTCATTGTCTCCTGTATATTGGTACAATGATGCTCTCAAGATATGGGAGCTAATCAAAAAGTAAATTACATTTTTTTGTGCAGAAATCTTCATCATTTGTTAGCCTTATTTAAGAAGTTACATCTAATTATTACAAGTTATTTGTCAGTTTGGTAACTTTATTCTGTTGTCTAGCAGAACTTCTTATGTCAAGGACAAGTCACCTTTTGGTCGGACGGTAAGTGTGTACTGGACACTAACACTCCCTGCTTTGTTCTGACCAACACAGGTCAGTACAGCACTCCTCTCTGCCTTTGGAATGAAGAGAAAGTTCTTGACTTTGTCTGCAGGCCCTAACTGGACAGTGTTTGCATACCAGGCAATATCAGGTGGTGGGAACCCAGAGAACTGGCAGGGAATTGAGACATTTTCACCCTCCTCTACAACTATCTCTGTGCTCGTTGGCTGATGCTTTGGCTTTTGTAAGTTTCCTTCAAATACAAATTTATAAAGAAAAATTTTTTTTTCATTTTTAATAACATAAAAAAGTATGTGTAAGTTGATGTAATGTAAAGTCTTCCTTACCTTTTCTTACAATTAGATTGGTATTTGTTTCAGCATAACCATAGTCGTTTACTCCTCTACACTTTAGTTTAGAATTTTTCTCAACACTTTCAATGACCAGTTCATTCTTGGACTCCACTCCAGGTCCCAGAGGTACAGTCTCATTAAACCACTGCACCATTGGTCTAGGGTGACCTTTGAACTCACATGTGATATTTATTTTCTCACCAAATTCAGCTGGAATTTGTTTCGGGAGATGAACTGGTATAGGTGTTTGTGGTATTTCTGCAACATTGGGAACACACATTTTACTTTTGGTTACCTAAAAGATATTTTTTTTTTTTATAAACATAGCTACTGAAAACTCTCATTGGATAAATCATTTTTAATTATGATTACAGCTGCCCAGAATAAAATAATAGTTAATACTTTTAATATAGATAAAACATATATTAGCGTACTATGTGGGATGGTTAAGGGATTAAAAAAACCTTGAGTTTAAAAACTACTAGGATGGAACTTTTAGTGGTAAGTTAAATGTCTCAACTAAAACTGAATGGACAAGCTAAGACCTTCAACTTCAACTTGTGTTGATGTTTCTGCCTTTCCAAATTTGTTGAGAGCTTCACATCGCAGAGTGAAAGATCTGAAAAAAAGTTGAACAAAGATACCTTCTTATCATAGGAGGAATCTGTTCTTGTGATATTTTGGGTACCTTTCATTTTAATTTATGAAATAGGGTTATGAATTTTTAGAAAATACTTTTATGAGTATAATGGAATGGATGACTAAGTTATTAGAAATAAGTATGAGTATAATGGAATGGATGACTAAGTTATTAGAAATAAGGAATGTCTCACTCTGTAATATTACGCTCCTTATAGAAATTGAATCCAGGCTTTTCATAATTTGTAATGACATTTTTATTATCTTTGAACCATAATACAGTAGGGACTGGATCTCCTAAGGCTCTACAGGTCAGTGATACATCTTTTCCTCGCTGCAATTTTGTTTTCTCAGGTAACTTTTGCATGATTTTTGGTTTTTTCATCTCTCCATCTAGGATTTGTGTTATTGTTACTCTTATTAGAATTATTGATTGTAATAAAGGTAATTTGGGACAATATTTAAATAAATTTTAAAGACAAAAAAAAATGTAACATTAAAAATAGGTTAACTAAAAGTATTTTATCAAAATTCTAGAAATTAGCATCTTTAAACTTAGCAGTTTAAGGTTTTAGTTTATAGAGAAAAAGTGTATTTAAGTTAATAATCAGAGGAAACACATCTCACCTTCAATAACAAAGATAGATGTCTCTCTGTCTATGACATCCACAGAGTTGGAGGCACTACACATTAGGATAGAGTCTTTTATAATGTTGGACAGGGTCAATTGGCTGGTGCCTTTTGATGGAGTGCCAATTGATTTGCCATCTAAAGACCATGTGACAGTTGGGACAGGGTGACCCACAGCCGTGCAGGTGACATTGACAGTTTGACCAGGATAAATTTCTAGTTTTGGTTTATGATCACTAGTAAACTGTGGTGCTAGATTATGGGGTGGGATTTCAAAATAAAAATATATGCCATTTTAAAAATAGTTAACAAACTAGTTCAATTATTTAATTTTTATTATTATTAAAAAGCTTAAAATGTGTTAGAATTCATGACGTCTTCAGTCTATAAAATGATGTAATGACTAGAGAGTGAACTACAGCATAATTTGATGAAAAGATGTTGCCATTATAGCCAGTCATTTCTACTGGTCTAACTAGAAATGTCATAATAATCATTTTAAAAAAGAAAAAACAGCCAAACATATTACTGGTCCTATTATAATCGTATACTAGATGTTGGTACACATTTATTAGATGGAATAGTGATACATAGTCCCAAGTTATAACTGTTAGTATAATTATGTTTTGAAGTTGGTACACTAATGTATTAGATGTTGGTACACTAATGTATTAGATGTTGGTACACTAATGTATTAGATGTTGGTACACTAATGTATTAGATGTTGGTACACTAATGTATTAGATGTTGGTACACTAATGTTTTAGATGTTGGTACACTAATGTATTAGATGTTGGTATATTAATGTATTAGATGATGGTACACTAATGTATTAGATGTTGGTATATTAATGTATTAGATGTTGGTACACTAATGTATTAGATGTTGGTACACTAATGTATTAGATGTTAGTACACTAATGTATTAGATGTTGGTACACTAATGTATTAGATGTTGGTATATTAATGTATTAGGTGTTGGTACACTAATGTATTAGATGTTGGTACACTAATGTATTAGATGTTGGTACACTAATGTATTAGATGATGGTACACTAATGTATTAAATGGTACACTAATGTATTAGATGTTGGTACACTAATGTATTAGATGTTGGTACACTAATGTATTAGATGTTGGTACACTCATGTATTAGGTGTTGGTACATAAATGTATTAGGTTTTGGTACCTTAATGCAGGGGTTCCCAACCCCGTGCCCACGGGCGCCATGGCGCCCGCCGAACAATTCGTATGTGCCCGCCTCTCACTATTCGACAGAGACAGAATTTTTTTCATAAACATTATTGAAAGGTTGAAGGGGATGGAAATCGAAAGTTTGAGGGGGGGGGGTGCAAATCAAAAATTTGAGGGGGGGGTGCAAATCGAAAGTTTTGTCCTCGGGTGACGGGAAGGGTCGCTACGCCTCTGGAGGGAGTTTGTCGATTTAAAATAGGTGGTGCCCGCCACCCTACCGATATTTTAGAATGTGCTCTAGAGTAAAAAAAGGTTGGGAACCCCTGCCTTAATGTATTAGATGGTACACTAATGTATTAGATGTTGGTACACTAATGTATTAGATGTTGTTACACTAATGTATTAGGTATTGGTACACTTGTGTACCTGATTTACAATTACTACTGTAATCATTTACCTTTTTCAGGTTCTGGTGGCTCTGAAATTTTAAATTAAGAATAAAATTAGTTGTTTTTATTTACCAACATCAGGCAATTCATTCATTATTTTAATGACTAAAATAAACTAGGGATAAAAGTCAGCTGATACCTTCAATAACAACATCTGTAGAGGTTTGAGCTAACCCAAACTTGTTGACTGCTTCACACACCACAGTAAAGGCACTAAAATGATATGTAAAAAAATACACAACTTGTTACAGGATCCCCAACAAACTCTTTCTTAGGATTATACCTTGAGTAAGTTTCTCTTCAGTAACTTACCTTGTAACAGCTTTCTCGACGAAGTAACTTCTACCTAAAACTGTACGTTGTGTTGGTACCACTACCCCATCCTTAAACAATCTGACCTCAGGAAGAGGATCGCCTTTTGCTATGCAGTCAAAGGATGCATCTGTACCTTTTGTGACTCTTCTAGTTGGACTAAAGCGGGATGTTATTCTTGGTTTCTCACCAACTTCTTCTGTTAATAAAAAAATGTTTAGTTTAAAAGTTAAAGATTGAAGGAGCTTGTGTGCTACATAGAAAAGAAATCAACAAGCCTTTTTGATGAGAATTTTAACGTTCACTGGACCCTGAGTAATGGGCCATGTTATTATGATCCATGTATTTGGTAGATAACTAGACGATGATCAAACATAAAGGACAGTATCAAGTTTTAATCACTCCTATATCTTTAAATATCTGATGCCAAAAACCAATACCCCATGCTAAATTTTAAACACATCAAAAAACAGTAAGGTTTGATGATTGACATTACTTGTCAATGTTTGGCAGATGTGTTGTTTTGTAGTTCAACATGTATACTGAATTAAAATGACACTTTGAATTTGAAATGCTTCCTGTATTAAAATTAATTAAAAGTTTAATTTCTTCTAAGATCACAGTAACACCTGATGGGTAAAGTAGTAATATTATATACAGACATATTCAACTATGCCTCTCTATACTTATTTCTGGTTTTGTGTATACTTTTCCATTAGTTTCTGTAAATCACAATGTATAATGAAAGATAAACGTAGTTAGGAAGGACTAAATAATAGATAGAATGTTATACAAGAAAACTTCTTTAAAATAACCACCTTTAAACAGGCATGAGGTGATTTTTAAATTTTAACAAAGTTTTGGCCTGCTGCAAACATTGTTTTGATCAGTAAAATATTTTCAACATAATTCTAACAGAAAGAACATTTTTAAAAGTTGCAACCCTTACTTGGAATAATGCCAATTACAGTGTTAAATTCCACTGTACCACCTAGATTCTGAGCTTTGCATTTGGCATCAACTGGCTGAACAATATCTGTGAGCACAAGTTCCTTCATTGAATCAGCTGGCTCACCTACTGGATCCCCATTCTCAAACCACTGTACAGTAGGGACAGGGTAGCCTTCAGCCTTACAGGTTAAATTTATCTGCCCTCCCTCAGCAATCTTGAGCTGTTTGGGAAGGTCATGAGTAAAAACTGGAGCAGAATATGGCCCTTTGAGAAAAAATAAAACATCATATCAATTAACTGAAAAAAAATTAATATATGAACTTATACCTGGTTTGCAAAAAAAAAAAGTATGAGATTAAAATTTTAAACAAATCAGTCCTTTTTAAGACATTTTATTAGTAATATTAGCCAAAGTAGAAGTTGTTTAAAATCTAAGAAAGTCCTTAGCCAAGTACTTGAACCAATTGTTATTGTGCCAATTACCCCGTCCTCCCAAGGTTGTTTAACAGAAATTGAAATGATAATAAATGGTAGATCTATATGTTAGAAATGTGCATGAGGTTTTTAAAATAACCTTTGCTTTACCCCCTTTCCCGCCCCACCCCCCTTAAAATGAAATAAGCTGCTTATTGATATTGTACCTTCACCCCAAATAGCTATTTTCTTTCTCTATTAAAACAGTAATGTATTTCTAAAATATCAATTGAGTACTGTTAAGACTAAGTACAAGTTGACTAAAATAATGTGGTCTATGTTAGCCAAGATTCCTGTCATTAATGTTGAATTAATATTAAAACCTATTTAAATTAGAGATTTCCACTCACTGTCCTGAGAGACCATCAACCATGTACCAGTATTTTTTCTTCCATGTTTGTTCTCTCCCCTACATTGCAGGTACATGCGTGTTGATGCGCTGGGTATTATTAGTCTGTTAATGGACTCCGATGCTGGGCTGACAACCTTGTCATTAATGAGCCAGGTGACCATTGGCTTAGGACTACCCTTAAACTCGCAGGTTATATTAACTGGATCACCAATATATACATCCACTCTTTTTGGCAATGGGACAGGTACTGGCGGCTCAGGTGGCTCTAAACATTACCAACGATTGATGAAAATAATAAAGAAATGAAAATATTGAGTAAATGGAAATGATGTAGGCTATTTTAAATTTTTATATATGTTATTTGCTAGTATTTCATTATTGTCAGTTAAAATGAGTCTAGCCCAAATATTTTTTTAAAATTATCTATCATTATATGAACAGCACTCCCTACATGGGGAAAAACTTTTTAACATCCACAAATTCTTTACCTGGAGTTGTGCCTGGAAGTAAAATAAAAAAGATGTTAGTATTTAATAAATGCAAATGGCAAGTATATAATTTAACAAGCATGCTTGTGACTAATAAGTATATAATGACAATCTTCACCATTCACTAACATTCCAGCAGTTAGTGTTATTACTCACTTTCTTTCATATACAGCCAAGTTCCTGTATAGTTTGTTCCAAGTTTATTTCTCCCTGCACAAGTAAGGTAAGTGCTTTTCTCAATCTTAAAATCAATAAGAGTATTCCTTGACTCCACATCTGGTCCCACAGGTGCATTATTGACATACCAGGTGACCATAGGCTTTGGATTGCCACTGAATTCACAGGTAACATTGACTGGCTGGCCAGGGTATAAGGTAAAAGGTCCATCTACTGATAGTGGCACTGGACCCTGCTGAGGTTCTGTGTGGAAGAAAAATAATTGTTAGTATATGACCTTAAAGGTCATCCTTACATGATATTACAATTAATGAATTATAAAGAGAGGTTGATATAAGTTATAGTTATCAGAGCCGGCGTTAGGGGGTGGCAAACGGGGCGGTCGCCCCAGGCCCCGCGCTTGAAGGGGCCCCGCGCTTCAGCAACGCCATTGTTGCCTGAATTAGTTTGTAAACTTAAATAATCTTTGTTGAATTAAATTTAAAAAAAACCCAACTAAATGGCCGAAATTGTTGTATGTTAAAACTGAGGCCAAGGCTGATGTTAGTGAGTTATCCTCTACATGGACTGGGACAGACCGTTATTCTAAAGAAAGACATTAGTGTCACACATCGCTGGTACGGTCGACTCGCTATTGTCCTGAGGTGACTGGAGATGGCGGTCGCGAATTAGCCCCCGACCTGAGATGGGAGGTAAAAATCGGGAAAAACGTAAAAAGATACCCTATTGTTTGCGGACCGTTGAAGACGTTTATTTTTAGAGAGCAGGCGGGGGTGTCTGTAGTAAACAGTCAGTGACCTGATGATGGCTTGCAGAGGAGGAGGAGGGGGGGGGGGGAGAGCGGATGGGGACATGCCCCGGAAATCCAGAGTATTTATCCCTAAAATCATAATTTATACACTGTATGGGCATCTTTTGTGTAATTATGCATATTCACCACGATACGTTTGATAGGCATCCATACAGTAATTATGTTCATATTTATTTTATATATTGTCAGGTCATCTTTAAATACATTATACTTGTATTTATTTTTATATTTTTGAAGGTCATTTAAACAGTAATTATGTCCATTTTCATTTTGGTAAACTTTAACGGTATTCGTAAAGTGATTAAGCACATGTTTATTTTAATTAATTGTAGGGACAGTGGCGTAGCGAGGTCGGGTGTCACCCGGTGCGGCACATAATGGTGTCACCCCCCCCCCCCCCCCCAGAGGCGTAGCGACCCTTCCCGGGAAAAAACTTTCAAATTTCCGATTTGCACCCCCCCTCCTCAAACTTTCGATTTGCACCCCTTCAAGTTTTCGATTTGCACCCCCCCCCCCCCCTTCCACCTCAAACTTTCTATTTGCACCCCCCCCTCAAGTTTTTCTCTATATAGTTTGCTATTTTTTTGCCTTGGTGTCACCCCCCTAAATGGTGTCACCCGGTGCGATCCGCACCTCTGTGTAGGGATATTCAGTATAATAGTTAAGGCCATAGTGATTCTTGTTTTAAAATAGTGTAGGCACACTAAACAAATTATAAAGTCTATACTGTTTGATACATCGGGCCGAGACTGTTTTAAGGTAAAGTTCTCCTGATTTCTAAAACGTCTAAATTACCGGCAGTCCGAGAATGCCATCGCAAAACTCATTAATAACATGAAGCTGGCTGTCACATGGTTCACTTTCTAATTATAGACACGGACCTTCTCTTGTGAGAACGCGGTCTTAACCTGTAATGTAATACGCGGACGCTCTATAAACACCCACCTTCTCTTGAATGGCCGCGGTCAGAGATCCAGTAACGTAGTACCCGAACTGATTTTTTTTTAGGATTTGGCATCCCATAGATTTAAATGTACAGTTATCCTTCACGGACTTCACCTCACCCCACCAACTGTCACCCCCCCCCCCCCCCAGTGTTCCACCTTACTGAGCGTCCGTGATTACATTTGAGAGTCATTTCATTTGGATATCTATAGCTGTAAACAGTGTTTTTCACGATTCGAGCTTATTCCGAATTCTATCAATGTTTTGCTATTTTCCATGGCTTCCACACACTTTGAATGCCCCTGTTAACACTTGATAAATTAAGAAAATATCGATACTATCACCTGCCACTGTGGACCGATTTAACGTTGCTTCAAAGTGCCCTAAGGTATTAAGTCAGCCAAACAGTGCCTTCAGTACATTTGGAGTATTCGGGATTCCTTTCCCAATACGGCGATCGCCTACAGAATCTTGCTAACAGTTCCAGTCACAGTGGCAAGCGCCGAAAGAAGTTTCTCCAAACTGAAGTTGATCAAGAACTATTTGAGATCAACGATGTCCCAAGACAGGCTTTGCGGCCTGTCGATTCTGTCAATAGAAAAAGACATACCCTCCAGTTTGGACTATGATGATATAATCATGGAATTTTCCTCACGAAAGGCAAGAAAAGTAGATCTTCGTTTGTGAACGTACTGGTAAGATTTTCATAAATAAACATTAATGTAAAAAAATCAGGTTTGAAGCTGACGTTCATCGTCTCTTTAATGCGTGTCTCAAACTTATATCTGTTTTATTTTTTACTTTTCAAACAAAAAGCCTTAACAGAAACAAGCAACATTTCAAAAGCACTTCTAAGTAAACAAATTATTTGTTAATCAGTGTCTTAATGTTAATACGACATTGATAAACAGCTTAAAAATACCATATATATTGTTATAAATATTAATTCGCGTTGAGAAGGAAAAAAACGCCTCACTGTACATGTTTTATTTAATTATACACCAATGAAAAAAATATAAGGCCCCGCGCGGATGGTTGGCCATAGGCCCCGCGTACCCCTAACGCCGGCTCTGATATTTATAGGCAAGAGGCCTTCCATTTCAGTTTAGACAAGACTTTGTGTATAGACATAGAGATCTAGATCTAGTCAATAATTAGATCTATATAGGCCTAGGACAGATCTAGATCTAGTCATTAATTAGATCTAGATCTGTATATAATAGTCAGATCTAGGTCTCAGATCTAGAATCTACCAATTTTTTTTTTAAAAAGACAAACCTTCAACTTGAATTTTAGTTTCTCCAACTAAAGTCTTTTGCTCATAAAAAGCTCTACATGTCAAATTGAAGGATCTGCAAGAAATAATTTAGACCAGTAAAGAAAGTTATTTTATCATCAGTGGGTTGACCTAGAACAACTAGATCTAGGTAAAATAAAATAAATAAAAGATTATACTATGTCTATGAAACAAAGTTATGATGAGTCAAGCATGTATTAGATCTATACTCTATACATTGTAACATTTTATAGTTATAAAAATAAACTATTATAAACTAAACTGTTACTAAACTATAAAAATTAAACTATACAGAAGTTTCTTCCAGGCATCTCTTCTGGGAGGCTCTGCCCACCCACCCACCTTCCCTCAGGAGAAAGGCTTCTGTCCCCCCAATGTTATGGAATTTATATAGAATATAGATCTATGTAATTTTATCAGTCCCCCCCCCCCCCCCCCAAGAGAAAAGTCTCGAAACACTGCTTTATCATTTTCAACTATACTTTTTACTTAGATCTAGTATTTCTATAGTCTTCTAGATCTACTACATTAGAGTCTAGTACACAGAGTAATATATAATTAAATAATTATATAGAGTCTAGATCTCTAGATCTATATGGGCCTCTCTACTAACTGGTGTTAAAAGTTAAGTTGTAACGGGAATGGGTTAGGGCCGGTTAGGCTTAAGGCTTAAGGCCGTAAGGGGCTTAGGGCTTAGAGGCGGTTAGACCGGTTAGATTCTAGATCTAGACATCTAGATCTATTGTGTAAATAAAAAATAATATAGATCTCTAGATCTAGATTAGATCTAGAATAATATAGTCTTATAGTTATAGATCTAGAATCTAGATCTAGAAGCTAGATCTAAACTAGATCTACGCTCAACCACACTTGTTTTCAAGAAACAAACAGCAGCAGACGACAGAGAGACTAGCTTCGCTTCCGGTTTTTTTCCCACACAGACTGTCTCTCCAACTTATTGTACTAGATCTAGATCTAGAATCTAGATCTAGATTCTAGATAGATTCTGTAATAGATTGAGTTAATTGTGAGGTCAAGGGAACTCACTCTCTGTATTAGTATTATATTTATATTGTTATCTTGAGTGATGTCCCTTACATGTTGTTATCTATATATAGTTGTCTCTGGCCACTTCTTCCTCTCTCTTTGCATCATGGCGTCTGTACATAATAAAGACTGTTAACAACCAACGCGGCTTCTCGTCAGTCATTACAATCCACGTCATTTGGCGACGAAGGATAAACATCTACCAGAAAGAGCACCTACTTACGCAAAAAAGAGGTTTGCTAGAGCTTATTAGCTAATTATTTCTAGAATTATGGCGCTGTATGGCCAAATAAAAGAATTTGATGCGAATGATGAAATCATTCAAGATTACCTAGAGAGGTTAAGCTTTTACCTAGAAGCTAACAACGTGACGATAGAAGCCAAAAAGAGAGCTATTTTGTTAACAGTCATAGGGCCTCAACAATTTAGGCTACTAAAAGACTTATGCGCACCAGCTAGTCTAACTACCAAGAGCTTTAACGAGCTGAGCAAATTGCTAACAGACCACCATGCGCCTACCCCATCAAAGTTTTTATGTAGAGCTAGATTTGACAGTAGGACTCGTCAACCAAACGAGTCGATATCAGAATATGTTGCTGCCTTACGTCATTTAAGTGAATTTTGTGAATTCGGAGACACGCTGTCTGACAGACTGTGTGAAAAGTTTGTGACAGGTGTAAACAGCCCTGATATTCAAAGAAAGTTGCTGCTCGAGTCAGATCTAAAATTGGAAAAAGCAATACAACTTGCAATGTCATTCCAGCAGTCATCAGATGCGGCGAGATCTTTAGCACCTTCAGAGATCCATGCAGTAAACAGCAGGTTAGTCAATAAACATCAACCCCATCAGAGCATTCCAACTTATGCTAAACAGCCTGCTCGTTCAAATCCTAGATCTAAATCTAGTAATAATTATCAAAAATGTCATCGATGCAAGGGTCCCCATGCATCTCATCGGTGCAAGTTCAAGTCTGCAACTTGTTATAAGTGCGGTAAGCAAGGTCACATTGCCAAGGCCTGCTTTGCAAAGTCTTCGTCTGTTGCTAAATCTAGCCAGTCAAGACAGTACCGCAACCAAAGGCAGCACTATGTTAACTCTCACCAAGACTACCTAACCCAACCAATGAACCACTCTACCTGTGAAAATGCTCAAACTGATTCGCAGCCGGATTTCAACCTGTTCTCTGTGAAATCAATAAGTCATGCTCCCATCAATGTACCAGTTTATATCAACGGTAAGAGCATCAGCTTCCAACTTGACACTGGAGCATCGCTAACAGTCATCACAAAGAAGGACTTTGACGCTGTCACAGGAGGATCAGTGTCTCTACAGCCGTGTCACAAGTGTCTAACAACATACACTGGTGACAATGTTCCGGTAATAGGAGAGTGTATGGTTCATGTAAGTTATAATGGTCAAAGTGTTAAACTTCCTCTTCTTGTGGTTGAAGGAAATGGACCGCCATTACTAGGTAGGAACTGGTTAAGTGATCTTAAGTTAAATTGGGAGAGTATTTGTTCATTGAAGAATGTAAAAGAATCTAGTCTTACTTCACTAGATAAAGTTATATCTGAAAATAAATGTGTTTTTGGTAACTCTGGATTACTAAATGATAGAACAGTGAAGTTAAGCATTAAAGATACAAATCCAAGATACTGCAAAGCTAGAGTTCCACCTTATGCAATGAGGAATAAAATTGAAAATGAGCTAAGTAGATTGGAATCTAATGGCATTATAAAGAAGGTAGACTATTCCGATTGGGCGACACCCATTGTGCCAGTGTTAAAGAAGGATGGTTCTATAAGAATTTGTGGAGATTATAAAACTACACTGAATAAGCAAATAGAGCTAAATAGGTACCCTATACCTAACATTGAGGAAATTTCTTTGAATTTGGCAGGAGGAGACAAATTCACTGAATTAGACTTTAGTCATGCTTACACTCAACTAGAACTGCATCCAGATTCAAAAGTCTATACGACAATAAACACACATAAAGGACTCTACCAATATGAAAGACTATGTTTTGGCATATCATCTAGCCCTGGAATTTTCCAAGCTGTCATGGACAGTATTTTTAAGGATATTCCAAATGTTTGTGTGTACTTTGACAATGTGTACATAACTGGTAAAAATGACACTGAACATCTTAAAACACTTGATAAAGTATTAAAAATTGTTGGTGAAAAAGGTTTAAAGATAAACAAAGATAAATGTCAATTCATGCTGACAGAAATTAGTTTTCTTGGTTATATATTGAGCAAACAAGGCATCAGACCTCAACCTGAGAAAACAAAAGCCATTAAAGAAGCACCCAAACCTGAAAATACCCAACAACTAAGAGCTTTTTTGGGCTTGATAAATTACTATGCAAAGCTCATAGGGAATCTGTCTGGTAAACTATCACCACTGTACAAGCTGCTACAGAAAAATGCAACTTGGCACTGGGGTAAACAACAAGATACTGCTTTTAATACAGCAAAAGAGGCTTTGTCTTCTGACACCTTACTAACTCACTATGACCCAGGGAAAAGACTTATATTAACATGTGATGCTTCACCAGATGGTGTAGGAGCGGTCTTGTCCCACATGGATGAGAAGGGTGACAGACCCATTGCTTTTGCCAGTAGATCTTTGAACCAGGCTGAGAAAAATTATTCTCAGTTAGATAGGGAAGGCTTAGGCATCATTTTTGGTGTTAAGAAATTTCATAAGTTTCTGTTTGGTAGGAAGTTCACCATCTTTACAGATCATAAACCATTGCTAGGTTTATTTGGAGAAAACAAAACCCTACCTGAGCATGCCTCACCAAGAATTCAAAGATGGGCTATCACACTAACTGCATACAATTATGAATTGAAATACAAACCTGGATCTGAGAATAGTGCAGATAGTCTTAGTAGATTACCTTTAAAAAACCAAAGCCTGAGCTATGTACCAGAAGATGTATTTGTTCTCTTCACTATCATGGATAACTCCAATATAAATGTGAATGATATTAAAAGAGAAACACAAAAAGATGAGTGCTTAATAAAAGTATATGAGTACTGTAAGAATGATTGGCCTGAAGAGTCTGTGAATGATGACTTAAGGCCATATAAAATAAGAAATTAAAACCCTTTGTGAAGATAATATAAAGATGGAGAAGATGCAGTCCATTATCAGTCAGAATTGCCTAAACAAAGTATTTGTAACTTAATAAATGATTATGGTGATATGGCAATTTCAAATACATTAGTAAGAAGGAATGTGATCATCAAACAACTTTGCTAACATCATTAGCACTTACAGAAACTAAAAGGGTAACATCAAAAGAAAAGAAAAAAGATTTTTGCCATTTAATACTTTCAGATGCCAATTCAAAAATAGTTCCATTAAATCATGACAAGACATTCATTGAAAGAGAATTTGGTGTTAATAAGAATGTGTATCTAAGAAATTATGGGAGAAAGGAAAAATGGATACCAGGTCAAATTGTTCAATGTACAGGACCTGTGCCTTATAAAGTTAAAAATAACTTGTGCAGATAATAAGTGTGAATCTGTCAATCCCACCAAATCTGAACAGTTCACACCAACTCAGTTTGTTCCACAACCAAGTTCTGTTGATATGAGTGAACCAAGTTGTCTGGAGTCAGAAAATGTAAATTCTGGAGTTAATAATTTAAATCCTGGACCTCCTGAGATAGAGAATCCAAATGGTCAGAATATTGAGTCACCAAATCAAAGGCCACTGAGAAGGTCAAACAGGACAATCAAAGTCCCAAATAAGTTAGACCTATGATTTTAAAGGTCAAAAGGACTTTGACATTATTGTTTTGTATTTTGATTATGTTGTAGCATATTGTGCATTGTTTGTAAGGATGTAATCTACCATAGTGTTCATGTTACAATATAATTGGTGATTTTAGGATACTATCAATTGTTCTATTGAGAGATGTGTTATTGTGTTCTAAGGGTAAAGGGATGTAATAGATTGAGTTAATTGTGAGGTCAAGGGAACTCACTCTCTGTATTAGTATTATATTTATATTGTTATCTTGAGTGATGTCCCTTACATGTTGTTATCTATATATAGTTGTCTCTGGCCACTTCTCTCTCTCTCTTTGCATCATGGCTGTCTGTACATAATAAAGACTGTTAACAACCAACGCGGCTTCTCGTCAGTCATTACAATCTACCTCAGATTCTTTTCTTGGAAACTATTTCAACTAAAAATTTAAGCAGTTTACAGCTTTGAAAAAACACTTTCAGAAATCTAAGTTTTAATAAAAAAAAAAAAAACCCTTTTTAATGAGAAAGCATCAAATTGGCTTAATCAGAAGCAGAGGCGTAAAGAGGGGGGGGGGTGTAACCATTTGGGGGAAGGGTGGGGGGGGTGACCAGAGTTTCTTCCAGGCATCTCTTCGGGGGGGGGGGGGGGGGGCGAAGGGGGGCTTTGCCCCCCCCCCCCCCCCCCGAAAAAAATTCTACCGCCGCCCCCCCCCCCCCCCCGAACGAAATGAAACATATAATTTATATAGAAAATATATACTTTTAACAGTGTCCGCCCCGTCAGTGGGGGTGACACCAAGACAAAAAATAAATAAAAAATTATATACATAAAAATGATAATTCCACTTAATTAAGCGATTAATTAGAGTGAGTTAAATAGTCCTTTAAGAGCAAAGTTGACAAATGCCGACAAGATTGGAGAGGGGGGAGGGGGTTGATAGAGAAAACATTCTACATCAAACTGTATTTATAACCGACTATGTGTTATCTAAAATAAACCGGGAGTGATCTCCCCTAAACTTTCTCGAATATTCTAATATAAAATTACGAGGGATGGCAACTCAGGACATAGACAATATTTGTTATCCATTTTTAATTACTTAATTAAACTTTTTATAATAGAAAATAATCTCGTAAAAAAAAAAAGATGTGCACACCAAGTGAAAAGTTTCCCTTTCAAACATGACGGTCTATGGGGCAAGTGAAGTAGAGTTCACTTGTTTCTGTGACCTCGGCATATGAAGAGATAGTGTGGTCAGCACTATGCCCAGCCGCCTTTACTTTCCCTAAAAGGAGTTAGGTTCCCATCAGAGTTGGGTAGACTCTGGGACGGTCTACTGACTTGAACCCGGATTCGAACTCGAGACTAACGGGTTAGCAGTTCAACTCTCTACCGCTAGACCACTCCGTCCCACACCAAGTGAACGCCTAATAAAATGTGTATAAAAGTGCGGGATATTATTAGTACTTTATGAATTTACATGCGTTTTTTGAGAAATCGGAAATAGCGTAAATTAGTACTTCCGGTCCACGGAAATTACTCAAAATTTGACAGAAGGTAGAGAATTAGATCTTTTACTTACGTGTGAAATTTCATGCATCTATCTAAAATAGTACGCAAGTTATAGGCTTTTGAAAAATTCAAAGTAGAAAAAGTACCACTTCCGGTTATCGGAAATCGCTCAAAAGTTGATCAAGATCTACGATTTTGATAAAATACTTATATATGAAATTTCATCAACCTAGCTGTAACGGTAATCAAGTTATCGTGTTTACACACAGACACACAGACAGACACACAGACATACGGACAAGATTGCAAAATTATGTTTTTCCGTATCACTGAGGTGTAAAACGTCGAGATTTGTAAAAATCTCGATCATTTTTTTTTTGCACGATTACAATACTTTCTCTATACGAGAAAGTAAAAAGAGCGTTTTGACGCAAAAGAGATTTTTAATATCATTCCTTTTTACTTTCTCGTATATACGAAGTATAGAGAAAGTCTTGTAATCGTGCAAAAAAAAAAAAATCGAGATTTTTACAAATCTCGACGTTTTACACCTCACTGATACGGAAAAACATAATTTTGCAATCTTGTCCGTATGTCTGTGTGTGTGTGTGTGTCTGTGTGTCTGTCTGTCCGTGTGTAAACACGATAACTTGAGTACCGTTACAGCTACGTTGATGAAATTTCATATATAAGTATTTTATCGAAATCGTAGATCCGTATCAACTTTTGAGCGATTTCCGATAACCGGAAGTGGTACTTTTCCTACTTTGAATTTTTCAAAAGCCTATAACTTGAGTACTATTTCAGATAGATAAATGAAATTTCACATGTAAGTAAAAGATCTAATTCTCTACCTTCTGTTAAATTTTGAGTAATTTTCGTTGACTGGAAGTAGTAATTTACGCTACTTCCGATTTCTCAAAAAACTAATGTAAATTTTAAAAGTACTAATAATATTGCGCACCATTATGCGCTTTTTTATTTGGCGTTCACTTGGTGTGCAATTAATTTGTCTACGAGATTTTATTCTATTTTTAAAACTTAAAGTATTTAAAATGGATTAAAAATCATGTCTATAGCCCGAGTTCCCATCCCCTGTTATTTTATATAAGAATATTCGAGAAAGTTTAGGGGAGATCACTCCCGGTTTATTTTTTCTGAGAATATATGTGAGAATGTTTAGGGTAGCTCATCTCCGCTTTTTATAATTAATGTTCACACTGATATTTTTTTTAAATGCCACTTAATTACCTTCGAACATTTTTTTCTCGATAGATGCTTGCCGAGGCAGTTTCGTATTCGCCGCCCACAATCACGTTATCTTTGTACCACGTGATGTTCGGGGCAGGCGACCCGGATGTTCTGCAGGGCACTGTGATCTCATCCCCCCTTTGCACCAGTACTTCTTCAGGCATAGGTTCGGTGAAATAGGGGACGTTTTCGCTGTCTGTGTAAAAAAGTTTTTTGTCTCAGCTATTGTAGTTAGAAAAATACAAGGAAACTCAACAGTACAGACAACAGATATAAGCCCCACCCCCCGAATGCGAGCAGAGGCGTAGCGACCCTTCCCGGCGCCCGGGGACAAACTTTTCGATTTGCACCCCCTCCCTCAAGATTTCGATTTGCTCCCCCCCCCCCTCAACATTTCGATTTGCACCCCCCATCAAACTTTCAATTTGCACCCCCCTCAACCTTTCAATTTATTTTTCCAACCCATTTTAGCGCCCCCTAAGGTCGGCGCCCGGGGACATATGTCCCCCCCCCCCCTCGCTACGCTACTGAATGCGAGCTTATTCCATAGAAACCCCTTACTTAAATCTGACCTGTAATGACCTTGACGGTCAGCGTTTTCTCCGCGGAGCCTGCCCTGTTGTACGCCTTGCAGGTCAGGACGGTCGTCTGGTTGAGGCTGACCAGGAGGATGGTGCTGCTGCCGGGCGCCGGTCTCGTGTTCTGCTGGCCGTCCTTGAGCCAAAAGACGTGGGGGACGGGCTGACCCACGGCCTCACAGTTGAGGACAGAGTTGCGGCCAGGGGAGATTTCAATCTCATCTGTCAAGCTGGTCACAATCTGAGGGGCTACGTCATTTGACGAGGCTGTTGGAGAGAGGGGTATATCAAAATGAGGGGCAGTGGGATAGAGGGGCTACATCAATGTGTGGGATAGAGGGGCTACATCAATGTGTGGGTTGTGGGATAGAGGGGCTACATCAATGTGTGGGATAGAGGGGCTACATCAATGTGTGGGATAGAGGGGCTACATCAATGTGTGGGATAGAGGGGCTACATCAATGTGTGGGTTGTGGGATAGAGGGGCTACATCAATGTGTGGGATAGAGGGGCTACATCAATGTGTGGGATAGAGGGGCTACATCAATGTGTGGGATAGAGGGGCTACATCAATGTGTGGGATAGAGGGGCTACATCAATGTGTGGGATAGAGGGGCTACATCAATGTGTGGGTTGTGGGATAGAGGGGCTACATCAATGTGTGGGATAGAGGGGCTACATCAATGTGTGGGTTGTGGGATAGAGGGGCTACATCAATGTGTGGGATAGAGGGGCTACATCAATGTGTGGGATAGAGGGGCTACATCAATGTGTGGGATAGAGGGGCTACATCAATGTGTGGGATAGAGGGGCTACATCAATGTGTGGGTTGTGGGATAGAGGGGCTACATCAATGTGTGGGATAGAGGGGCTACATCAATGTGTGGGTTGTGGGATAGAGGGGCTACATCAATGTGTGGGATAGAGGGGCTACATCAATGTGTGGGATAGAGGGGCTACATCAATGTGTGGGTTGTGGGATAGAGGGGCTACATCAATGTGTGGGATAGAGGGGCTACATCAATGTGTGGGTTGTGGGATAGAGGGGCTACATCAATGTGTGGGATAGAGGGGCTACATCAATGTGTGGGATAGAGGGGCTACATCAATGTGTGGGATAGAGGGGCTACATCAATGTGTGGGATAGAGGGGCTACATCAATGTGTGGGTTGTGGGATAGAGGGGCTACATCAATGTGTGGGATAGAGGGGCTACATCAATGTGTGGGTTGTGGGATAGAGGGGCTACATCAATGTGTGGGATAGAGGGGCTACATCAATGTGTGGGATAGAGGGGCTACATCAATGTGTGGGTTGTGGGATAGAGGGGCTACATCAATGTGTGGGATAGAGGGGCTACATCAATGTGTGGGTTGTGGGATAGAGGGGCTACATCAATGTGTGGGATAGAGGGGCTACATCAATGTGTGGGATAGAGGGGCTACATCAATGTGTGGGTTGTGGGATAGAGGGGCTACATCAATGTGTGGGATAGAGGGGCTACATCAATGTGTGGGTTGTGGGATAGAGGGGCTACATCAATGTGTGGGATAGAGGGGCTACATCAATGTGTGGGTTGTGGGATAGAGGGGCTACATCAATGTGTGGGATAGAGGGGCTACATCAATGTGTGGGTTGTGGGATAGAGGGGCTACATCAATGTGTGGGATAGAGGGGCTACATCAATGTGTGGGTTGTGGGATAGAGGGGCTACATCAATGTGTGGGATAGAGGGGCTACATCAATGTGTGGGATAGAGGGGCTACATCAATGTGTGGGATAGAGGGGCTACATCAATGTGTGGGATAGAGGGGCTACATCAATGTGTGGGTTGTGGGATAGAGGGGCTACATCAATGTGTGGGATAGAGGGGCTACATCAATGTGTGGGTTGTGGGATAGAGGGGCTACATCAATGTGTGGGATAGAGGGGCTACATCAATGTGTGGGATAGAGGGGCTACATCAATGTGTGGGTTGTGGGATAGAGGGGCTACATCAATGTGTGGGATAGAGGGGCTACATCAATGTGTGGGTTGTGGGATAGAGGGGCTACATCAATGTGTGGGATAGAGGGGCTACATCAATGTGTGGGTTGTGGGATAGAGGGGCTACATCAATGTGTGGGATAGAGGGGCTACATCAATGTGTGGGATAGAGGGGCTACATCAATGTGTGGGTTGTGGGATAGAGGGGCTACATCAATGTGTGGGTTGTGGGATAGAGGGGCTACATCAATGTGTGGGATAGAGGGGCTACATCAATGTGTGGGTTGTGGGATAGAGGGGCTACATCAATATGAGGGGCAGAGGGATAGAAGGGCTACATCAATGTGAGGTGCTGTGGGAGAGATGGGCTACATCAATGTGAGGTGCTGTGGGAGAGATGGGCTACATCAATGTGTGGGTTGTGGGATAGAGGGGCTACATCAATGTGTGGGATAGAGGGGCTACATCAATGTGTGGGATAGAGGGGCTACATCAATGTGTGGGTTGTGGGATAGAGGGGCTACATCAATGTGTGGGATAGAGGGGCTACATCAATGTGTGGGATAGAGGGGCTACATCAATGTGTGGGTTGTGGGATAGAGGGGCTACATCAATGTGTGGGTTGTGGGATAGAGGGGCTACATCAATGTGTGGGATAGAGGGGCTACATCAATGTGTGGGTTGTGGGATAGAGGGGCTACATCAATATGAGGGGCAGAGGGATAGAAGGGCTACATCAATGTGAGGTGCTGTGGGAGAGATGGGCTACATCAATGTGAGGTGCTGTGGGAGAGATGGGCTACATCAATGTGTGGGTTGTGGGAGAGATGGGCTACATCAATATGTGAGGGCTGTGTTGGAGAGGGGCTGATATCAACTGAGTTTGCTGTAAGAGATTTTGGGCTACAAGTTGTCCAGCACTGACAGACACACAGACAAACTAACCAGTTGGCCGGACAGGGTCCACGGGCCGCTGTGTTGTGATCTCTAAAGACACCTGCTCAGTGCAGGCGTCTTTGTTATCCAGGTTAAAAGGTGTGATCTGCAGACGGTATTGGACCCCGGCCTTGACATTGGACATCCGAGCTTCTGTCTTGTTAATTACAATTTGTTCAGAGCTCCTAGCAAATTAAAAGTACGCGCAATTTACGCTAAGTTCAGCGAAGGAAATATTTGATTCGTATTATTGAATTCGGAAGTTTTTAAAGAACTTACGAAACTTGACCATTCTCTGATTCCGCTTGAAGTTTGACCACAAACCCTTGCATTTCCGTCGGCTGCGGGCCGTTGTAGGTCCAGGAAGTTATGACCTCTTCTGAGGAAATAGCTTTGACCTGGATATCTGTCGGCACTGACGTCACTGAAATACAGATCAAGGTCCTTTACGTGAGATTGGGGGGGGGGGGGGGGTGTCCTGTGACTGACACATGGTGACAGAGAGAGAGGTGTTTTGCTTTTTCCTTTTGTATGGGGAAGGGGGAGGGTATGTGTGTTTAATTTTTGAAACTCCTTTTGACCCATTTTGTAATTCTTCCAAACTCTCCGTTGACAAAGCAAAAATATAAAACAATACATTAGGCCTATGGTTAAAGTTGCTTTTCCGTTACTTGAATAAGGTAATTTACTAATGTTGTATACATCATTGGGCACAGGATGGCACCATAGTGGATGGGAAAGAGGGGGGGGGGGGGGGTGGCAACACATCCCCTATGGTTGTAATATATTATATATAAAGTGGTTGGCTGAGGGTCTGGTGTCACACGATCTAGGCATTGGCGTGCCTGGGAAACGGGGGGGGGGGGATTTAGTAGGGGTCAACAATTAGGCTAATGGTAATTAACTCTTGCACTACCTTCTGTGGGCGTGGTTATGTGAGTGACGGTTTGTCTGTTTTTCTTGTTGACCTTGGCCTTGGCTAAAAAGAAATATCGACTTCCGGGCTTTAGGCCGGTGATGATACCGTAGTTGTTCTGTTGGAAAAAAGATCAAGTTATGTACCCTGATTTCAGTTATGTTGGAATATTAAATTTGTTATCTTTCAATATTAAAAGTGTTATGTTGGAATAAAAAAATGAAGAATCCGATTAAAATGCTCCTTGTTTTAGAACTAGAATATCTGAATAAAATTCGCAGATTTTCTGATGCTCCCCGAAACACCATACATATATTACATGCTAATTTCACATCGTTAAAAGGTTCAGTTTGTCTAATCCCGTTAGTTGTTCGCTAAACATTTATTGGTCGTAGAGTTTATTGATGCTAAAGAGCCGGGGAATTGATGTTCCAGATTATTCCACCTGAGGAGGGTTTGTGTCACCTTGAATGTTTGAAATGGGCGCCACGCTACGGCGCTATCGTCTGTCCAACGAAGTGAAAAGTTTTCAACGATGACGTCATCGCCGACCGTCTGCAGAGAGACCAAAGCAGACGTCGGGCTAAGCGGGAAGGCGCTCAAGCTGATCTCAGTCGCTGAGGAGGATAAAACAAAGGAAGTTTACCACACACCACACACCACACACAGATCACACCACACACCACACACAGATCACACCACACATCACACATCACACACCACACCACACACCACACACAGATCACACCACACACCACACACAGATCACACCACACACCACACACAGATCACACCACACACCACACACAGATCACACCACACATCACACATCACACACCACACCACACACCACACACCACACACAGATCACACCACACACCACACCACACACCACACACAGATCACACCACACACCACACACCACACACCACACCACACACCACACACAGATCATACCACACCACACACCAAACATCACAAACCACACCCCACACCAAACATCACACATCACACACCACACACCAAACACCACACATCACACACCAAACATCACACATCACACACCAAACACCACACATCACACACCACACATCAAACATCACACACCACACGGTGAATATGACATACGTTTTAAAATCTCGTGTGTGTGTGTGTGTGCTTCTACACATGCTCCTATATTACTACAGTTGATTCGTTTTGTTTTGAAGAAATATTTTAACGGTTTGGTATGGCGCATCAATAAATGGCCAAATCCTAACTAGGATTTAACCTTGATTGGATTTCACGTTGCATAAGGTTTTATTACGTCATGACATTTGCATTTAAAGATGTAGATTTATGGGAGTGTTTTAGGTTTTAAACTTTATAAAAGTACGGACTGTTTTAGCCTAGCATTTCAAAATTTAAGGTTGGAATGTGCTGAGTGGTGTGTTGGTCATCTGATCGTGTGAAGTGGGGGGGGGGGTGGATAATCTGATCGTGTGGAGTGGGATGTGGGTAATATGAATGTGTGGGGTGGGGAGTGTGTAAGTTAAATGTGTGGGGTGGGGAGTGTGTAAGTTAAATGTGTGGAGTAGGGTGTGGGTAATTTAAATGTGTGGAATGGGGTGTGGGTATTATGGACTATCAAGCAACTACTCACGAAAGCCATCGTGCCGGAACTCGTTCCCCACCCCCTTCCTGCCGATGTACGTCTTGTTCCCTGGTAGCCTGAACACGGCGGCCACCTCGATCCGGTACTTGACCCTCAGTGGTAGCCTCTCTAGCACCGTACTCCACTTGCCGCCAGACTCTGCTTCATCTACATAGATCTTGCCTTGTAGGGCGTTCTTCACGTTACCCTAATCACCACGGTTAGATCACGTTTTCAAACAGTTTTAGAATTTGTCACAGATACGGTAATGAATTAAACGTAGATCTTAATTGACAGAACGTTATAACATCTAACATCTAACGTTATAACATCTAACATCTAACGTTATAACATCTAACATCTAACGTTATAACATCTGGATGAGATGCCAGCCGATACAACCTATAGATAGAAATCAGCAGGCAGACGACAGAGACAAACCAACAAGCAGACGACACAGAGAAGCCAACAAGCAGACGTCACATACAGAGACCAAAAGACAAGCGCCGCATCAGAAGATGTAGTTCACTTGGCAACCTTGAATGATAGGGTTACCGTTCTTACCTTTTAGCTCACTTGGCAACCTTGAATGATAGGGTTACCGTTCTTACCTTTTAGCTCACTTGGCAACCTTGAATGATAGGGTTACCGTTCTTACCTTTTAGCTCACTTGGCAACCTTGAATGATAGGGTTACCGTTCTTACCTTGTAGCTCACTTGGTAACCTTGAATGATAGGGTTACCGTTCTTACCTTGTAGCCCACTTGGTAACCTTGAATGATAGGGTTACCGTTCTTACCTTGTATCTCACTTGGTAACCTTGAATGATAGGGTTACCGTTCTTACCTTGTAGCCCACTTGGTAACCTTGAATGATAGGGTTACCGTTCTTACCTTGTAGCTCACTTGGTAACCTTGAATGATAGGGTTACCGTTCTTACCTTGTAGCTCACTTGGTAACCTTGAATGATAGGGTTACCGTTCTTACCTTGTAGCTCACTTGGTAACCTTGAATGATAGGGTTACCGTTCTTACCTTGTAGCTCACTTGGTAACCTTGAATGATAGGGTTACTGTTCTTACCTTGTAGCTCACTTGGTAACCTTGAATGATAGGGTTACCGTTCTTACCTTGTAGCTCACTTGGTAACCTTGAATGATAGGGTTACCGTTCTTACCTTGTAGCTCACTTGGTAACCTTGAATGATAGGGTTACCGTTCTTACCTTGTAGCTCACTTGGTAACCTTGAATGATAGGGTTACCGTTCTTACCTTGTAGCTCACTTGGTAACCTTGGATTATCGTCGGCTCCACGTCTGCTGGTGGCTGCCAGGATACATGTAACGAGTTCTTAAACCAGGGCTGAACTCGCACATTTCTTGGCGCTCCTAAAGACTTGGTATCTGTAAACATTGGCAGAGTTCAAGACAAAAAGTTTCGAGAAAATTTTTCAAGACAAAACTTTTTGAGAAAAAAAAGATGTTGAGAAATAAAGTCTCAAGACTAAGTTTAAAGCGAGACAGTTTCAGGAAGAAAAGTTCCAAGACAAAATCTCAGAATGTGCCCCAAATAAAATGTCCCCCAAACAAAATGTCCCCCAGACAAAATATCCCTCAGACAAAATGTCCCCCAGACAAAATGTCCCCAGACAAAATGTCCCCCAGGCTAAATGTCCCCCAGACAAAATGTCTCCAAGACAAAATTTCCCCAGACAAAATTTCCCCAGACAATCTTGACCAGCCACAACTGTAATGTTGCTCACCTGCTCGTGTAGGGGACACGTACTCACCTACAGCTTTTGTTGGCTGACCGGAAGTTGTGGTCTCTGGTTGGTCAGTGACGGGCAATCGTTTGGGTGTGGTGATCTTCACTGAGTCGCCCGGCCCCTCGTGTTCCCCGGGGGCTGAGGACGCTCCTTCGTTATACACGGGCACAACCTGGCACATTACACACGTCATTATACACTGGCACAGTATACACGTCATTATACACTGGCACATTACACACGTCATTATACAAGGTCACAGTACACACGTCATTATACACGGGCACAACCTGGCACAGTACACACGTCATTATACACTGGCACAGTATACACGTCATTATACACTGGCACATTACACACGTCATTATACAAGGTCACAGTACACACGTCATTATACACGGGCACAACCTGGCACAGTACACACGTCATTATACAAGGTCACAGTACACACGTCATTATACACGGGCACAACCTGGCACAGTACACACGTCATTATACACTGGCACATTACACACGTCATTATACAAGGTCACAGTACACACGTCATTATACACGGGCACAACCTGGCACAGTACACACGTCATTATACACTGGCACATTACACACGTCATTATACACGGGCACAGTACACACGTCATTATACACGGGCACAACCTGGCACAGTACACACGTCATTATACACGGGCACAACCTGGCACAGTACACACGTCATTATACACTGGTACAGTACACACGTCATTATACACGGGCACAACCTGGCACAGTACACACGTCATTATACACTGGTACAGTACACACGTCATTATACACGGGCACAACCTGGTACAGTACACACGTCATTATACACTGGCACAGTACACACGTCATTATACACGGGCACAGTACACACGTCATTATACACTGGCACATTACACACGTCATTATACACTGGTACAGTACACACGTCATTATACACGGGCACAACCTGGCACAGTACACACGTCATTATACACTGGCACAGTACACACGTCATTATACACTGGTACAGTACACACGTCATTATACACTGGTACAGTACACACGTCATTATACACGGGCACAGTACACACGTCATTATACACGGGCACAGTACACACGTCATTATACACTGGTACAGTACACACGTCATTATACACTGGTACAGTACACACGTCATTATACACTGGCACAGTACACACGTCATTATACACTGGTACAGTACACACGTCATTATACACTGGTACAGTACACACGTCATTATACAAGGTCACAGTACACACGTCATTATACACGGGCACAGTACACACGTCATTATACACGGGCACAGTACACACGTCATTATACACGGGCACAGTACACACGTTATTATACACTGACAGAACATGGTACAGTCCACAAGTCATTATACAATGTCACACAGAATCACACCATGCCACCCTCCCACACACACAATAACACCATGCCACCATGCCACCTTTATCTCATAAACCGTCTCCGGCGTCAGATCGTAGATGGTGAACCTCTCCCCGCCATTTCTCTCCGTCTTGTTGACGATGAAAGCGATCTCGTCGTCCGGCTTGACCAGGTCGTCCCCGACATAGATGTGGTACAGCCGGACCAGCTGGGGGTGGTTTTTGGGGGGTCTCCACGACACCTGGACAGCTGTGGCGTTGACCACCTTGGCGGACAGATCCAGAGGTTTTGAGGGCGCTGAAAGATGTTTGATGGCAGGGTAGAGACAGGACGCGGCGTTTCTAACACGGAGGTAGGACTTTACCCAACCCTCTCATCGATTACCCCCGGTTATTTCACCCCCACCCCCTGGTTAACCCCACTCATTTCACCCCCACCCCCTCACCGCAACATAACTTACGGATCACAATTTCCCCGCTGTCAATTAGCCCCTGTCAGTTATTCCCCCGGGGAATCACCCCCACCCCCTAGCATACATATTATACATTTACCCATCTCTATCAACAGACATCTAAATATCCAGCTCCCTAACCTGAACCCTATCTCTAACTTACTCTTATCTGTATCTGTATCTATACATCTAAATGACTAGGAGGTGTGTGGGGGTGTATTTGACAGGGGATGCCCAACTGTTTTTGTTTTGGGTGGGGAGTAAAATACAGGCGTGGGAGTTTAACTAAATCTTAAATGCTTCCCTATTCCTCCACCCCTCCTCCCTAGACTTACCGAACATGATCACGAAACTGTTCCCCCTGTTCAACCACATCCACTCCACCCCCAGACTTACCAAACACAATGAGCCTAACGGAACTGTTCCTCACCACACCACCACCTCCACCCCCCCACCCCCCACCCACCCCCAGACTTACCAAACACAATGAGCCTAACTGACCTGTTCCCCCCACCCCCAACCCCGCCACCCCCACCCCCAGACTTACCAAACACAATGAGCCTAACAGAACTGCTCCCCCACCCCCACCCCACCCCAGACTCACCAAACACAATGAGCCTAACAGAACTGCTCCCCCATCTCCCTCCCCCACCCCCAGACTCACCAAACACAATGAGCCTAACTGACCTGTTCCCCCCACCCCCAACCCCGCCACCCCCACCCCCAGACTTACCAAACACAATGAGCCTAACAGAACTGCTCCCCCCCACCCCCCCCCCAGACTCACCAAACACAATGAGCCTAACAGAACTGCTCCCCCCCACCCCCCCCCCCCCCCCAGACTCACCAAACACAATGAGCCTAACAGAACTGTTCTCCACCCCTACCCCCATCCACCCCCACACCCCCCTCCCCCACCCCCAGACTCACCAAACACAATGAGCCTAACAGAACTGTCCCCCCCCCCCCAGACTCACCAAACACAATGAGCCTAACAGAACTGTCCCCCCCCCCAGACTCACCAAACACAATGAGCCTAACAGAACTGCTCCCCCTGGAGTTGCTACAGACGAAGGTGTCCGAGTCCTTAAACTGCAGGTCTGTGAGGACCAGATGGTGCAGGGTCGGATCCTCGTCGTCCACCACCATCTTCGCCCCTGCCGGCGGCCTCTGGTTGCCCAGGGTTGACCATCTCTGGGGGAGGGGAATCATGGTTGTCATGGTGATGTTTTTTTAAATAGGCAAAACTCAAAAACGGTTACGTTGATAGGGGGATTTAGCAACACACCACTTCCCCTACACCACACTGTTGTCAGACTCCCCCACTCCCCCCCCCCCCAACATCACACTGTTGTCAGACCCCCCCCCCCCCAACATCACACTGTTGTCAGACTTCCCCACTTAACCCCACCCCCACACCACACTGTTGTCAGACTCTCCCACTTAACCCCACCCCCACACCACACTGTTGTCAGACTTCCCCCCACACCACACTGTTGTCAGTCCCCCCCCCCACACCACACTGTTGTCAGTCCCCCCCCCCAACATCACACTGTTGTCAGACTCCCCCACACCCCCCCCCCCCACACCACACTGTTGTCAGACCCCCCCCCACACCACACTGTTGTCAGTCCCCCCCCCCCAACATCACACTGTTGTCAGTCCCCCCCCAACACCACACTGTTGTCAGACTCCCCCACTCCCCCCCCCACACCACACTGTTGTCAGACTCCCCCACCCCCCACACCACACTGTTGTCAGACTCCCCCACACCCCCACACCCCCCACACCACACTGTTGTCAGACTCCCCCCCCCCCACACCACACTTTTGTCAGACTCCCCCACACCCCCCACACCACACTGTTGTCAGACTCCCCCCCCACACCACACTGTTGTCAGACTCCCCCACTTAACCCCACCCCCACACCACACTGTTGTCAGACTCCCCCCCCCCCACACCACACTGTTGTCAGACTCCCCGACACCCCCACACCCCCCACACCACACTGTTGTCAGACTCCCCCACTCCCCCCCCCACACCACACTGTTGTCAGTCCCCCCCCCCCCACACCACACTGTTGTCAGACTCCCCCACTCCCCCCCCCCCCACACCACACTGTTGTCAGACTCCCCCACCCCCCACACCACACTGTTGTCAGACTCCCCCCCCCCACACCACACTGTTGTCAGACTCCCCCACCCCCCACACCACACTGTTGTCAGACTCCCCCCCCCCACACCACACTGTTGTCAGACTCCCCGACACCCCCACACCCCCCACACCACACTGTTGTCAGACTCCCCCACTCCCCCCCCCACACCACACTGTTGTCAGTCCCCCCCCACACCACACTGTTGTCAGACTCCCCCACTCCCCCCCCCCCCCCACACCACACTGTTGTCAGACTCCCCCACTCCCCCCCACACCACACTGTTGTCAGACTCCCCCACCCCCCACACCACACTGTTGTCAGACTCCCCCATCCCCCACACCACACTGTTGTCAGACTCCCCCACTCCCCCCCCCCACACCACACTGTTGTCAGACTCCCCCACTCCCCCCCCCCACACCACACTGTTGTCAGACTCCCCCACTCCCCCCCCCCACACCACACTGTTGTCAGACTCCCCCACCCCCCACACCACACTGTTGTCAGACTCCCCCACTCCCCCCCCCACACCACACTGTTGTCAGACTCCCCCACTCCCACCCCCACACCACATTGTTGTCAGACTCCCCCACTCCCCCCCCCCCACACCACACTGTTGTCAGACTCCCCCACTCCCACCCCCACACCACATTGTTGTCAGACTCCCCCACTCCCCCCCCCCCACACCACACTGTTGTCAGACTCCCCCACTCCCCCCCCCCCACACCACACTGTTGTCAGACTCCCCCACTCCCCCCCCCCACACCACACTGTTGTCAGTCCCCCCCCCCAACACCACACTGTTGTCAGACTCCCCCACTCCCCCCCCCACACCACACTGTTGTCAGTCCCCCCCACACCACACTGTTGTCAGTCCCCCCCCCCCCCCCACACCACACTGTTGTCAGACTCCCCCACCCCCCACACCACACTGTTGTCAGACTCCCCCACCCCCCACACCACACTGTTGTCAGACTCCCCCACCCCCCACACCACACTGTTGTCAGACTCCCCCACTCCCCCCCCCCACACCACACTGTTGTCAGTCCCCCCCCCCCACACCACACTGTTGTCAGACTCCCCCACTCCCCCCCCACACCACACTGTTGTCAGACTCCCCCACCCCCCCCCCCCCACACCACACTGTTGTCAGACTCCCCCACCCCCCACACCACATTGTTGTCAGACTCCCCCACTCCCCCCCCACACCACACTGTTGTCAGACTCCCCCACTCCCCCCCCCCACACCACACTGTTGTCAGACTCCCCCACTCCCCCCCCCCCCACACCACACTGTTGTCAGACTCCCCCACTCCCCCCCCACACCACACTGTTGTCAGACTCCCCCACTCCCCCCCCACACCACACTGTTGTCAGACTCCCCCACTCCCCCCCCCACACCACACTGTTGTCAGTCCCCCCCCCAACACCACACTGTTGTCAGACTCCCCCACTCCCCCCCCCCCCCCCACACCACACTGTTGTCAGACTCCCCCACTCCCCCCCCCCCACACCACACTGTTGTCAGACTCCCCCACTCCCCCCCCCCCCACACCACACTGTTGTCAGACTCCCCCACTCCCCCCCCCCCACACCACACTGTTGTCAGACTCCCCCACTCCCCCCCCCCCCCACACCACACTGTTGTCAGACTCCCCCACTCCCCCCCCCACACCACACTGTTGTCAGACTCCCCCACTCCCCCCCCCCAACACCACACTGTTGTCAGACTCCCCCACTCCCCCCCCCCCCCCAACACCACACTGTTGTCAGACTCCCCCACTCCCCCCCCACACCACACTGTTGTCAGACTCCCCCACTCCCCCCCCCCACACCACACTGTTGTCAGACTCCCCCACTCCCCCACACCACACTGTTGTCAGACTCCCCCACTCCCCCCCCCCCCACACCACACTGTTGTCAGTCCCCCCCCAACACCACACTGTTGTCAGACTCCCCCACTCCCCCCCCACACCACACTGTTGTCAGACTCCCCCACTCCCCCCCCCACACCACACTGTTGTCAGACTCCCCCACTCCCACCCCCACACCACACTGTTGTCAGACTCCCCCACTCCCCCCCTACACCACACTGTTGTCAGACTCCCCCACTCCCCCCCCACACCACACTGTTGTCAGACTCCCCCACCCCCACCCCCCCACACCACACTGTTGTCAGACTCCCCCACTCCCCCCCACCCCCACACCACACTATTGTCAGACTCCCCCACTCCCCCCCCCACACCACACTGTTGTCAGACTCCCCCACACCCCCCACACCACACTGTTGTCAGACTCCCCCACTTCCTGTTATCCAGGAGCTGCTATAACAAAATTTGAAGCGGGTGAGGAGGAGGTAAAGAGAACAAAATCTAAATAAAACAAACATAAAAACCTTTATAGCAACATAAGATAATAAAACTAATTTTCTTTAATAAAACCTTTTGTCGCTAAAATATATTTTAAAAACCCTCATAATCTCATTTTGTTCTCTCCCTTTAGTTTCGAACCCATTTAATTAATTTCTACTGATTATACATCTAATTAAATTTTAAAATAGATAGACTTGTATTGTCATCGAAGTGGAACGTAATAGAAAAGCTTGAACAAAATCGCTGCATTAGAAGTTGGTCAAAATCGAGTTACAAGTTTTGTCACAAATAAACAAACAAACAGCCTGCAAACTAAATAGAAGCTTGTAAATAACAACTCACCACTCGGTCCCGAGGGTTGGCAACAAAACACGGCAGCTCGACTGACTGACCTTTCACTGCATAAAATTTGTCGGGCGTTTTGGGATAGTTATCACTTTCTGAAACCATAATGTTAGACATCTTTAACTTGCAATCAATTTTAATTTGATTAATTACATTTTTAAAAATTAAATGCCAAACGAGCGTCGTCCATCGTCTGTTAGATCACAGAGGCTTACAGAAAGCCTATAAGAAATTAATTAACTAATACACAGGTAGGGTGTTGTAGTTCAGACTTCAAACATGGACAATAAAGAGGGAGTGATCTCCCCTAAACATTCTCGAATATTCTCATATAACACTACTTGGAATGCTACTCGGGATATAGACATTTTTACATTATTTCAAATTGTGTTTGTTTTATAAAACTTTTAGTTTTAATACTTTGAATAGAACCCTGGAGAGTGAAAATGACTTTGTTAATAATTATAGTTGTGTTTACGGCTATCTGGCTTTAGCGCAACTACAACATTAATTTTTAATTTTGTTAATATGTGTCTGTGTATGCCAGCAATGTAGGTATATATGTTTTGTGCGAATGTTTGTATGTAGACTTATGTGCTATGTGTTGATGAATGTGTGTGTTATCCGAGTGTGATGGGTTGGTTTATGTCGTGTTTTCGTGTGCTAATTTGTTGTGTAATGAGTGCGTATGTAGGAGTGTGTAGGAGTGTGTAGTTGTGTACAATTGTTACAAATATTTTGTGTATTTAAGTATTTGTTTAACCAGGTGTTTCTCCTTCAATGACGTATGTCCAGTAAATCAGGTAAATTAACTTTCCTTCCCTATCCTGCACATCGCATCTATATAAGACAGTCATCTCCAACTGCGGTTAACGTCAGCCTCTTCCCTCACACACACAATGTAAATATCAGCTTCTTACTACAAGTATAACTTCTATCCCCACGTATCCATCAACAAAGCCTCAATCCCCACCCACACACACAACCTAAATCCCCACTTACCCACATACAACATCTATCCCCACTTACCCAAACACGCAAAACGCATATCCCTACTTACAACCTATATCCCCACTTACCAACACACAACATCTATCCCCACACACAACCTCTAACCCCAGTCACAGTCTCTATCCCCACTTACCCACACAGTCTCTATCCCCACTTACCCACACAGTCTCTATCCCCACTTACCCACCCACAAATTCTCTTCCCCCACCCACCCCCACACACACCCTCTACCCCCAACCACCCCCCACCCACACACACACACACCCTCTACCCCCACCCACCCCCCACACACACCCTCTACCCCACCCACCCACACATACAAGCAGTCGTCTAGTGTAACCAGAACCGTTTTAAGCAGCTTACAGGCTGTTAAAGCAAGAAATACAATACAGCTTAACAAGAGTTCTCTCCCTTATCTACAGTTCCCTCCCTTCCCCATTCTTCCAGTTGTTTCCCTTAGATCGCAAGGTATATGTTTTTTCAAATCCGCCCTAACAAACAGATCGGGGGGAGAAAAGGCTCGCATGTGTTTATATACAGCTTTAGCTTCTGGCCCGGGGGTGGCAGCTTAGAGTGGGCGTTAACCTCGTGCCCGGGGCTGGACAATGTAAGAATCACCGACAGAGTGGGGGGGGGGGGGGGGGTGGAGACGTTCTGAGATGTAGATGTTCTGAGGTGGAGATGTTCTGAGATGTAGATGTTCTGAGATGTAGATGTTCTGAGATGGAGACGTTCTGAGATGTAGATGTTCTGAGATGTAGATGTTCTGAGATGTAGATGTTCTGAGGCGTAGATGTTCTGAGGTGGAGATGTTCTAAGATGTAGATGTTCTGATGTGGAGATGTTCTAAGATGTAGATGTTCTGAGGTGGAGATGTTCTGAGATAAAGATGTTCTGAGATGTAGATGTTCTGAGATGTAGATGTTCTAAGATGTAGATGTTCTGAGGTGTAGATGTTCTGAGATGAAGATGTTCTGAGATGTAGATGTTCTGAGATGTAGATGTTCTGAGGTGTAGATGTTCTGAGATGAAGATGTTCTAAGATGTAGATGTTCTGAGATGTAGATGTTCTGAGGTGTAGATGTTCTGAGATGTAGATGTTCTGAGATGTAGATGTTCTGAGAGGTAGATGTTCTGAGGTGGAGATGTTCTGAGATGAAGATGTTCTGAGATGTAGATGTTCTGAGATGTAGATGTTCTGAGGTGTAGATGTTCTGAGATGTAGATGTTCTGAGATGTAGATGTTCTAAGATGTAGATGTTCTGAGATGTAGATGTTCTGAGATGTAGATGTAGATGTTTTAAGAGGTATATGTTCTGAGATGTAGATGTTCTGAGATGGAGATGTTCTGAGATGTAGATGTTCTGAGATGTAGATGTTCTGAGATGTAGATGTTCTGAGATGTAGATGTTCTGAGATGTAGATGTTCTAAGATGTAGATGTTCTGAGATGTAGATGTTCTGAGATGTAGATGTTCTGAGATGTAGATGTTCTGAGATGTAGATGTTCTGAGATGTAGATGTTCTGAGATGTAGATGTTCTAAGATGTAGATGTTCTGAGATGTAGATGTTCTGAGATGTAGATGTAGATGTTCTGAGAGGTATATGTTCTGAGATGTAGATGTTCTGAGATGGAGATGTTCTGAGATGTAGATGTTCTGAGATGTAGATGTTCTGAGATGTAGATGTTCTGAGATGTAGATGTTCTAAGATGTAGATGTTCTGAGATGTAGATGTTCTGAGATGTAGATGTTCTGAGATGTAGATGTTCTGAGATGTAGATGTTCTGAGATGTAGATGTTCTGAGATGTAGATGTTCTGAGGTGTAGATGTTCTAAGATGTAGATGTTCTGAGATGTAGATTTTCTGAGATGTAGATGTTCTGAGATGTAGATGTTTTGAGATGTAGATGTTCTGAGATGTAGATGTTCTGAGATGTAGATGTAGATGTTCTGAGAGGTAGATGTTCTGAGATGTAGATGTTCTGAGAAGTAGATGTTCTGAGATGTAGATGTTCTGAGATGTAGATGTTCTGAGATGTAGATGTTCTGAGAAGTAGATGTTCTGAGATGTAGATGTTCTGAGATGTAGATGTTCTGAGATGTAGATGTTCTGAGATGTAGATGTTCTGAGATGTAGATGTTCTGAGATGTAGATGTTCTGAGATGTAGATGTTCTGAGATGTAGATGTTCTGAGATGTAGATGTTCTGAGATGTACATGTTCTGAGATGTAGATGTTCTGAGATGGAGATGTTCTGAGATTTAGATGTTCTGAGGTGTAGATGTTCTGAGATGTAGATGTTCTGAGATGTAGATGTTCTGAGATGTAGATGTAGATGTTCTGAGAGGTAGATGTTCTGAGATGTAGATGTTCTGAGAAGTAGATGTTCTGAGATGTAGATGTTCTGAGATGTAGATGTTCTGAGATGTAGATGTTCTGAGATGTAGATGTTCTGAGATGTAGATGTTCTGAGATGTACATGTTCTGAGATGTAGATGTTCTGAGATGGAGATGTTCTGAGATTTAGATGTTCTGAGGTGTAGATGTTCTGAGATGTAGATGTTCTGAGATGTAGATGTTCTGAGATGTAGATGTAGATGTTCTGAGAGGTAGATGTTCTGAGATGTAGATGTTCTGAGAAGTAGATGTTCTGAGATGTAGATGTTCTGAGATGTAGATGTTCTGAGATGTAGATGTTCTGAGAAGTAGATGTTCTGAGATGTAGATGTTCTGAGATGTAGATGTTCTGAGATGTAGATGTTCTGAGATGTAGATGTTCTGAGATGTAGATGTTCTGAGATGTAGATGTTCTGAGATGTAGATGTTCTGAGATGTAGATGTTCTGAGATGTAGATGTTCTGAGATGTAGATGTTCTGAGATGGAGATGTTCTGAGATGTAGATGTTCTGAGGTGTAGATGTTCTGAGATGTAGATGTTCTGAGATGTAGATGTTCTGAGATGTAGATGTTCTGAGATGTAGATGTTCTGAGATGGAGATGTAGATGTTCTGAGATGTAGATGTTCTGAGATGTAGATGTTCTGAGATGTAGATGTTCTGAGATGTAGATGTTCTAAGATGTAGATGTTCTGAGATGTAGATGTTCTGAGATGTAGATGTTCTGAGATGTAGATGTTCTGAGATGTAGATGTTCTGAGATGGAGATGTAGATGTTCTGAGATGTAGATGTTCTGAGATGTAGATGTAGATGTTCTGAGATGTAGATGTTCTGAGATGTAGATGTTCTGAGATGTAGATGTTCTGAGATGTAGATGTTCGGAGATGTAGATGTTCTGAGATGGAGATGTAGATGTTCTGAGATGTAGATGTTCTGAGATGTAGATGTTCTGAGATGTAGATGTTCTGAGATGTAGATGTTCTAAGATGTAGATGTTCTGAGATGTAGATGTTCTGAGATGTAGATGTTCTGAGATGTAGATGTTCTGAGATGTAGATGTAGATGTTCTGAGATGTAGATGTTCTGAGATGTAGATGTTATGAGATGTAGATGTTCTGAGAGGTATATGTTCTGAGATGTAGATGTTCTGAGATGGAGATGTTCTGAGATGTAGATGTAGATGTTCTGAGATGTAGATGTTATGAGATGTAGATGTTCTGAGAGGTATATGTTCTGAGATGTAGATGTTCTGAGATGGAGATGTTCTGAGATGTAGATGTTCTGTTGTATGCCAGGGATTGGGGACAAAGGAACGGAGAGTTGATGTTATTTTTGACGTTACTCAACGTTTGCTTGTGATATGTTTGCTATTGTCTCAGATATCAGTTGAAACGTTAAGTCAAAATGTGATTGTTAAGTAGATTGTCTCTAAAACATGTTGATATCACAATGTGCATCTAAAGGCGTGTCTTGACTGTGTAGCCAATCTGGACAGTCTGGACAGTCTGGGTCATAAGGGTCAGTCTGTGTCACGTCATAATGGTCAGCTTGTGTCACGTCATAAGGGTAAGTTTGTGTCACGTCATAAGGGTCAGTTTGTGTCACGTCATAAGGGTCAGTTTGTGTCACGCCATAAGGGTCAGTTTGTGTCACGTCATAAGGGTCAGTTTGTGTCACGTCATAAGGGTCAGTTTGTGTCACGCCATAAGGGTCAGTTTGTGTCACGTCATAAGGGTCAGCTTGTGTCACGTCATAAGGGTCAGTTTGTGTCACGTCATAAGGGTCAGTTTTGTGTCACGTCATAAGGGTCAGTTTGTGTCACGCCATAAGGGTCAGTTTGTGTCACGCCATAAGGGTCAGCTTGTGTCACGTCATAATCGTCAGTTTGTGTCACGCCATAAGGGTCAGTTTGTGTCACGTGAGCGGTGTGATCCCTAGATTGTGTAAAGATTGTCCTAAGCTCCGCCCTATAAAACACCCCACCCCCTCATCACCACACCCTGACGGTACGACACCAACTGGCAACATGTAATTCTGAGACCATGAGACTATGTTCGTGGAATAAACCAGATACGTCTTTAGTGGTAGGCTATTTCACAGACACTAATCTGACTTTTGCCAGAAAATGAATGAATTGTAAAAAGGTTAAAATATAACAAAACACCGCATTATGCTACATAATTGGCTGCATAGACCAACTGGTTACACTAGAGCAGAGGTTCCTAACCTGGGTTCGATCTAATCCCAGGGGTTTGGTGAATCAGTCTCAGGGGTTCGGCGGAGGTCAAGACACACACCCGACTCAAATGTGATCGGATTTTGTCAGTGCGGACAATAGAACTAGAGGCCGCGGCCGATGACAGTTGAAATAAGACATCGCGACATACGACGGACATATTTATTTCTATATCGTGGCGCAGTAGTGACTGCCGTTATGGTGTGTTGTCTTTATAGTTTAATCCCTTCCTACTTAATGTCGAGCAAAAAAAGAAAGTGGTCGGACGAATATTTACAAAATGGATTCACGTGTTTAACGGAACTTGATGGGAGCCAGCGTCCTAACTGCATGATTTGCAATGCCAAGTTAAGCCACTCTAGTCTAGCACCGGTAAAACTAAGAGAACACTTTCATAAGCTACTTGGAGATTGAAAATACAAGATCACAACGCTCGCTGAATACATGGTGAAGCCGTGGATATCTAAATTGGTGTCTGAAAGACAACAGTAGAAGTCGCACCGATTTGCGGTAATTATGCACTATTATTATAAGGTTGTTATTTTTTGGGGGGGGGGGGGGGGGGGGGTTTGGTTTTTTTTTTTTTTTTATAATTGCGATTTATTTTTGTGTGAAAATAATGATATTTTAATGGTTTTGTTCTTAGTACACATTGATGTCGATGCACAGTAAAATAATTATATACCGTGTTTTGTGAATGCACATATGAAGTTGGTGGACAATGTTCCCGCTAAGCTGCGCGATCGCGCGGCCGCGCAGTAGTTTTGAGCTGCCGCGCTCAAATTGTTTTAAATAAATATATAGATCTAGATCTACTTAAATAAGACTTTTAGAAGAGCGCGCACAAAAATAAATTTTGCACACTAGCTTTTCCCCCTTAGAGGGAATATTGTTGGTGGGGTTGGCGACCTCCAAAAAGGCTGAGAACCACTGTACTAGATACAGAATATTTTCGATGATCGTAAAACTCTAAAACAGATTTGTGCGTGTGTGTTGGACATCCGCTACTAATCGAAGTAGGAGAAACATCAACACATCACATCGCAAAAACACTTCACATCGCTAGTAAATAAACATCAACACGTCAATAGCAAATAAAAACTTCACATTAAATACGTTTTCACTGAACTATGACCTCAACACAGTCGTTACTTCATTACGGTTTTAATTATGAAAATTTCCTATACAAAAAAACTAATCAAAAAGTGATCTTACCGTCTGCACGTGAAATTTGAGCACTAATGACCGCACACAATAACAAATACAACCCGTGGTAGTACATGCTAGTGAGTGCTTAATCACAGCCTTGACATTGACTCTTGAGGTCAATACAGTCCGGTTCTTATGTCTGTCTAAAGTCTGTCTGGACAGACTAATCCTGCGATCTGTCTTCACAAAGCTTATATCAGGTGTGGGGATTGGTGCTTGCTACCGTGACCTGCTCCCAGAACAAAGATCAGTGGGCATGCAACGCCCCCTGTACTGTAAGACTCGGCTACTGGCACCAGTGAGCAGAGAGCGCCCCCTGTACTGTAAGACTCAGAATCACGGAGCAGACAGCACCCCCACCCCGAGGCTGAGCTAACAGGACTGACCTTACAGACACAAGGTGGCTCCATAGACCTGACGGAATAGTGTTGTGTGTTCACGCAGGAATCAGACGTACAATGGAATCAGTACCACATTGCGCTGAGACAAGTACCGGATGCGCCTGTGGATGGCTGGGTCTGGGTTCCAGACCAGCAGAGACCAGGAGACACAGTGGGTGGCGGGGTGGCTAGCGTGTGGGTGGCGGGGTGGCTAGCGTGTGGGTGGCGGGGTGGCTAGCGTGTGGGTGGCGGGGTGTAGCCCTGGGTGGCAGCAATACAGACATTTGTCTCCAATCGGGGTGGTACCGCTACCTGTGGCCCCCGCTTTAGTCTTTTAAGACAACGCCATCAGTTCAAATTACGTGACCTTTTGTGACCTTTAAGACACTTTGAACCAACTAAGGCAATTTGTTTCCGTGTATTTCCAAAGCTCTACCTTTGGAAAGCTTACAGTAAACTCTCTTGGCCCACTGAGCTGCCCTGTTGTTTAAAAAAAAAAGTTAAGATAACTCTGAAATTAAACAAACATTACCTCCCTTTGTTGGGCTTGTCTAATGTTTCGAAAAATGAAAAAAAAAATTTTAAACAATTTCATACATTTTTTTTTTTACATTTATGTCAGTCTAACTTTTACTTCGCATTGAAATAATTTTTAGTGTTATTTACATTGCCAATATTTACTTAATTAGTCGCGTGGCTAAAATCGCAGCTTGAAATAAATAGATTTTTTAACATATAGAGAAACAGCCGTTTGAGATTGGTATAAATATAAAAATGTGATTCTGAAATTGCGGTTAATGTGGGACAGGTTGTGTTGTTGTCTTTCAGTTCGGGAGGGGTGTGGGGGTGTGGGGGTGGTCACGTGGTGTAGTAGCGCGCCCTGGGGTGAGCGGGGCGCGAGGACATCAGGGGAGCTAATCTGTAAACAAGAGGCTCGCGTGTCACAGCGCGCCCTACTGAGTACCCTGGGCTCGATGTCAGGGGGGCGGGGGGGGGGGGCAAATTGTGTGAGGCCGTGAGTTGGGGGGGGGGGGGGGGAGTCTAAGATTTGTGTTAGTTCGTCTATGTTTATGGAGAGGGGGTTGGGGAAGTTCAATTTTAGGGATGTTGGCGGGGGGGGGGGGAGGAGCCAGTTTTGAAGGGGGTGTTATGAGGGTAGGGTGTAAGTCGATGGGGTGGAGGTGTGTTAGTTTATCTATGTGGGTGGGGATCGGTGTCAGTACATCTGAGAAGGGGGAGTTTTGTTTGGGGTGGGGTGGGCGGGGGAGTCTAAGACAATTGGGAAACGTAATGTTTAACTGTTGGAATTCAGCTATGATGCATCAGAAAATGTTGATTTGATGACGACGCTACTATCATAATACAATTAGCTCGTGCATTGTCTAAAGAATATTTTTATTTCATTTTGAAATACTTTGTTTTATGTAACTGGATATGGCTGGAACATAGCACATGACTGGATATGACTGGAACATAACACATGATTTGATATGACTGGAACATAGCACATGACTGGATATGACTGTGAACATAGCACATGACTGGATATGACTGTGAACATAGCACATGACTGGATATGACTGTGAACATAGCACATGACTGGATATGACTGGAACATAACACATGATTTGATATGACTGTGAACATAGCACATGATTTGATATGACTGCAACATAGCACATGACTGGATATGACTGTGAACATAGCAGCACCACGATCACTAAGGCAATCATAGAAACTGGCAAAGGACTGTAAGTGGTGGAATAAAACTTGAATGTGTAGTAATGTCGTGGTCATAAGCTCCACATCAGCCCCTAAGCCGTACCCTAATCTCTTAAGGTGTGGGTAAAAACGATCTGCCATTCTAGAATTTGCACACAAACATGGCATTTTTTGCGGGGAAGGAAGGGGTTATTGCGAAATTAAGCTAATGAGCAGATTTAATGTGGAGGTTAATTAGTGAAAGCTTGTGATACAAGATATAAATAAAACAAGGTGGTTGTTTGTTTGGGGCTCGAATGTAGCAGTTACATGCCAGCTGTGGGAGGATGGGAGCTTGGGGTGGGAGGGTGGGGGTGGGAGCTTGGGGGTGGGAGGTTGGGGGTGGGAGGGTGGGGTGGGAGCTTGGGGGTGGGAGGTTGGGGGTGGGAGGTTGGGGGTGGGAGGGTGGGGTGGGAGCTTGGGGGTGGGAGGTTGGGGGTGGGAGGGTGGGGTGGGAGCTTGGGGGTGGGAGGTTGGGGGTGGGAGGTTGGGGGTGGGAGGGTGGGGTGGGAGCTTGGGGGTGGGAGGTTGGGGGTGGGAGGGTGGGGTGGGAGCTTGGGGGTGGGAGGTTGGGGGTGGGAGGTTGGGGGTGGGAGGGTGGGGTGGGAGCTTGGGGGTGGGAGGTTGGGGGTGGGAGGGTGGGGTGGGAGCTTGGGGGTGGGAGGTTGGGGGTGGGAGGTTGGGGGTGGGAGCTTGGGGGTGGGAGCTTGGGGGTGGGAGCTTGGGGGTGGGAGCTTGGGGTGGGAGGTTGGGGGTGGGAGGGTGGGGTGGGAGCTTGGGGGTGGGAGGTTGGGGGTGGGAGGTTGGGGGTGGGAGGTTGGGGGTGGGAGCTTGGGGGTGGGAGGTTGGGGGTGGGAGGGTGGGGTGGGAGCTTGGGGGTGGGAGGTTGGGGGTGGGAGGTTGGGGGTGGGAGCTTGGGGGTGGGAGCTTGGGGGTGGGAGGTTGGGGGTGGGAGCTTGGGGGTGGGAGCTTGGGGGTGGGAGCTTGGGGGTGGGAGGTTGGGGGTGGGAGCTTGGGGTGGGAGCTTGGGGTGGGAGGTTGGGGGTGGTAGCTTGCGGGTGGGAGCTTGGGGGTGGGAGCTTGGGGTGGGAGCTTGGGGGTGGGAGCTTGGGGGTGGGAGCTTGGGGTGGGAGCTTGGGGGTGGGAGCTTGGGGGTGGGAGCTTGGGGTGGGAGCTTGGGGGTGGGAGCTTGGGGGTGGGAGCTTGGGGTGGGAGCTTGGGGGTGGGAGCTTGGGGGTGGGAGCTTGGGGTGGGAGGGTGGCAGAGCATTAAATAACAATGTTTGTGTGAGGTCGTGTTGGTAATGTAAACAAACACACAAACAGTTGAATAGCCCTAGCCAGCGTGTCAAGTTTAGGTCATTATATTCTATGCCAACAAGTCAAGTTTAGGTCAGTATGTTCTATGCCAACAAGTCAAGTTTAGGTCAGTATGTTCTATGCCAACAATTCAAGTTTAGGTCAGTATGTTTTAGTCCAACAGGTCAAGTCAATGTCATTATTTTCAGTGGTCAAGAATTTCTAGCACGTGATGTTCAACTATAGCTGTCAGCACCAAAGAGGTATTGTTCGTGCTTGTTCCAACATAAGAAAAAAAAAATTTCTTTTCCATGACAACAGGATGACTTAGTCGAAAGGTAGAACGTTTGGCTGCTAGCCCGAAAGTCTCGAGTTCGGATCTCAGCTTTGACTTGAGTCTGTAGGACGTTCCAGAGTTCACCCAGCACTAATGGGTACCTGACTTACGTTCGGGAAAGTAAAGGCGGCTGGGCATAAAGCCGACTACACCATCCAGAGGCGTATCCAGGTTTTCGTTGTAGGGGGAGCGAAAAGAGCAAAAAAAAGGCGCCGAATTTTTAACACGTCCTATATACGTGGATTATATATATATATATATATATATATATATATATATATATATATATATATATATATATATATATATATATATATATATATATATATATATATATATATATATATATATATATATATATATATATATATATATATAATTACTAGCTGTATGTCATTACTTCGCTATGATGTAAGATAAATTGAAAGTAGCACTCTGCAGAAATAAGAAAAAACACACAATGTAGGCCGACAAAACAAAAATTGTATCAATCTAAACAAAAAAAATATATATATATTCACACACTAGAACCAAAAACAATTAACGTAACACAATCTGTTTTGTAATTCTTGTAAAAAAATAAGTTAATAAAAAGTCTAGTGACAATTTAAGCGCAATTTCCTTATGTTATCCATAACAATTTTTAATTTTTTGTGACCGAACGAAAGGATATTTTTTTGCGCTAAAAAAAGAGAACTATATTAACCTATATCAACGGAAATAGGTTTATTTTAACAAGTAGGCCTACGCGATGCTCAGTTTAAAAAGTAAATATCATCCTAGGCCTACACGATGCTCAGTTTAAATGTTCTTAATTAATTTTTTGTGAACAAACGAAAGGATATTTTTGAAAACTTTCTTCGGCAATATTGTTCTAAATTATGGCAGGAATCGATTGGTAAATGTTTCAAGTCGCTAAGTGGTCTGGTTGCCGAGATATGGGCCGAAAACTGCATTTTTCGAGGTTTTTTGGCTTTTCCGGGAAATCCAGGAAGGAATTCAGGGAATTTTTTTGGCCCACAATCATCCTCGGAACTTGCTTAACATATTTGCTTAGGAACTAGTCCTTGATATTGCTTCATTGAGGAGGAGATACGACTTAAAGCTGTGGACACACATCCATTCATTCATTCATCCATCCAGAAATGACGAGTTAATAATCGCAATTGTCCAGTATGGAAATTGCGCTAAAAATTCTTACACAATAATTCCTGGGAAATTATTTAAGACAAGTGAAATAGGGGAAATAATCACTCTCTTAATATAAATATGTATATATCTACACATTTAATTATAAATGTCAAAACAAATAAATAATTACTTTAGAATATAATGAAATTGTTTAACACTATTCGTATTTACAAAATGTTTTTGTCTATAATCAGAATTTAATATATCGTCATCATAAATGCTAAAGTATTACA